TCACACTGGGACTCCCTTTAACGTGATTGGCTGGTGATAGCAGTCAGCCAGCCAAAATGAAGAGATTACGACTGAGGTGCTAATCAGTCGGCACATCAAGGTTCGGCTGATTGCTATCCGACTTCCACGGCGGTTCCTTTGAAGCAAAGGCGCGGCTAGGTCCAACGGGCGTCAAATTCACACTCTAGTGCCCTCATTGTACTCGGAAAGACCAAAGAAAGCGCCAATACCTCTCAGAGGGATCAGGTGCACAGTCTTCATACCTCTTTCGTAGTCAGACAGTACATGTACTTGTGTCATGATGTGCGACCAGACAGTTGAGTCCTCCAGCCAACACTTCAAACTTGACTGTCAGTCTGATGAATTTAGCCAGACTGAGCCTGACCTCAGCTGGATCTTCAACAGCGATGATACAGCCCCTTCCATGACACGCCGGGTAGCACCACCGGCCGGCCGTCCTAGTCCCGTCTGCAATTGCAGGCACAAGTGGTGCCTTCGTGAGTGGTCATCCGCGAAGAACGCCGAGGGGAACTCCGCCTCCGGGCGTCCAACCTTGCATCTACGCGGGCTTCTCCCCCTGCGGTTCCCCGAGATCTCGTCAACCATCCAGAGCTACGTCAAGTCCAGCGTGGAGCGCAGACGGAATCAATTCCTGTCCTGGATTGACCGGTGTGACGCCTCCGTGAATGCCATCCGGCGGCACCTCCTGGACGCAGTGCCTGGTCTAGCAGAAGCTGCCCCCAAACTAGGCAAGTGAAGTCTGATTTGTGTAATCAGAACTTGACCCTGTTGTTAAAAACCTATTAAATCCTGCTCAAATCTTCGGTACAATTTCACTAAAGATTTATGTTGATATGACAAAAATAAGATTTGAAGTTGAAGGTTGGGGGGGGATATTGCCAATTACATGTATTGAGATCTGCATGTGTACCGTAGTTTAGCCCACACCGAAATTGGGGTTGAACGTGAAGAGGGAAAAATACACCTAAAGGTGTAAAAGCAACTCCTGTTGTGGGATAATGCAGACTAAATGGCCGTGATATATTGGCACCTGGACAACTTTTCGTCAGGATACTGAAGATAATACATAAAGTGTGGTATCATACGAACTTCATTAGTTTCATTGTCTACGTGTACTGGCCAAGGTCATTAGTTAATGTGTTCTTCTTGTACCGTTTTTCCTTGTTACAGCGCTGAGTACAGTGCGAGGGTGGTTGAACCAGTTGGCCGAATACCCCTCTCCCGCTGGCTCCAAGCCCGACCGCCGTCCCAAGTCACTGCGAGAGTTGCTTCAAGTCGTGAGCGAGCAGCTTAGCCAGTTGCTTGCGGCCCGCGTCCTTGTGCTGCCGACACGCCGTGTGATGAACCGCCCCGTGCGCCTGCCGCGCTTCAGGAGGTCGTCCGATCATCCCAGATGTCGCAGGCGTCTCTTTCCTCGTCTTGCTGCCCCGCTCACAACGTGAATGAGGCCTATTTATCATTGGACGTTGTAAGGAGCGGGTGGCGCTTGTCCCTCATACGGCAAAAGTGGGGAAAACAGTAAGATGATGACAAAACAAAAGATGGGGGAAGCAGGATTGGGATGAAAACTGCTTGTTTCTTTGGATGGTTGTTGTGTCTGCAAGTGTGATAGCTTTGTCTTGCCTCCCACAAATGATGCTCCATTTCTAGTGGCGACACTCATAGCATAGGAACAGCGTACTTGTCAATGCATTTCATGCACACCAAACATGGATTAAAATTAAATTTGACAAGGACCTTGTGTTTTAAATACTTGATATGCTTCAGTCAAGGAAAGTTTACACTGGAACCAGACATTAACACGTAGCAATATGGCTCAACTTCTTTGATTTGTATTTTCCGTAATATAAAATAGTTTGCGCCGTAATTCCGTCGTAAAACTGTAAAAACGTGTATACGTAATTGAAGTGTTGTATGAGTTTTATGAATTATATATTTCTCAGTCTTTGCTGTTTGCATCATGAAATGTGTCTTCATACAGATTTTTCCACAATAATTGGACAAGTGACAATTCATGGTGGTACTTGTACAATGATGTGTCGGATGGAGTGTGATGGTTTGTTGTATCTGTACAATTTCTTCGCAAGGTCACCGGTGCTAATTAACAGTAGTAATTCAGCTGAAATCGTCTTGCACGTGGCGAGCCTTGTTACGTTTTTATTCAAGCTTTTGGCGAGTTATCCTTAAATGAATTGTCATAATTCTGTGGGGCACTCTCAGTTGGGCCGTTAAAATATGCAACTTCGTGGGTCTAAATAAAGTCTGACTCCATGTACGTATGTGGCTAATGACATGTTTGTGTGTTATTTTCTCCATGTGAAGGCTGACGAAAACTCATGTTTGATGGGACATGCAATGAAAACATGGATTTTTTTATTGTATTAGGGCAGACCAAGAAAGAAATTTCTAGAAATATGCAAATAAATGTCCTGATACATGTACATATATATAGTTACACGTACATGCAATTTTATTTTGAGACTTAAGAGTGCATGAAATTTCCAAGCTTCCACGGAATATGAATACCAAATTGGATGCATCCGAATACGTTGGCAACTAAGTATCAACACATGGGCCCTAGAAGACGTTCGTTGCTCAAGTCAACTTAGATGGATAGCTTTTCGTAGTGTCTCAACATCTGCGTTGATGCAATATTTTTCTCCTTTTCAGATCAAAGTTTCACGGAGCGACACCATCCAACGCTAGAGTTGGTGAGTGGACTTCATAACATAAATGTGTACATGTACATGAATATCGACATCCTGGGTTGGTCAGCCTGCTCCACACATGATTTATGATTTAGATTCGAATTAAATCTCCCTCCCACTGAATTGGAACGGTTAAGCTCATCATGCGGCATATGCAACTCGTCGGCAATTTAGCCTCTTTTCTCCATATATCATTACGGTTATCCCGTTTCGTCGTTACTGCCTCCCTCGAGCAGAAGCACCCCCTCATCGGTTGAAAAGAGCCACATTGATCTAGAGTGTTCATTTATAGCGATGCAACCGTAACGCGTACATTTCTTAGTCGTTCGTGAACCAGTAATTCAGTCCCGACCAAAGGAGCCTCTGTTGCTAAGAAAATTGCACCCTCTCGTGGTCCAGCTTGGGGCTCACACGTGTACTGCTTATCATGTATGTATCCTTGCATGCTTCTTAATGTGGACCTGCTGTTGGTCCAGGAATGGAGTGTTATCGGTACATGTATCAGAACAGCAGTGAGGCATTTTTGTTCATGGATATTGTGTCTTCTTAGATGGCCAAACTGCGTCTTTGTTGTATTGCTCGCACTGCTTCAACCTCCTCCGACCGGGCAATCACTCAACCAGACTCTCCCCAAAGCTTCGCCTCTCCGGACGCATCGCTAAATCCAAGAGGAAGGCGACCGAACACGGATTGGCCAGTCTATCCCTACAAAAAGCGAGTCACCTGAAAAGATGGACGGAGAGTCGAACGAAAGTGGTATGTGCACCATGGATGTCTTAAGGTTTCCCCCCCGATTTTCCACTCGACTACTGTCCGGATTTGAATTCGAGTCCTTTTGAACAATAAGACGTAGGTATCGGCTCTAAGTGTGCAAGCCAACACGCGGTCAAGAGTCAACAAAGTCTTTGTTCTCGGGGCATGATTATTTCTTTGAGAATAACTAACGCATTGCTCTGTACATATTGTGTTCAGTGAATAGAAAATATTGCACAACGTGTAAAAGTTCATCAATACTGCGCAATTTGTCATCTACTGAAGTATAACGTTTGGTGTGGTTTGCAGTGCGTGAAGTGCAAGGCTTGCAGTGGCACGGCTAAGATTCCTGGCAGCAAGCGGGCCGTCCCTCCACCAAAGCAGGAGGGACGCAGGACGCTGGCTGCCAAGAGAAGACTCCAACAGGAATCACTGCAATCAAGGGGAAACAACTCACGTTCACCTGTCACACCGAGACAAGACTTCTCACGGAAGCAAGCCCAACAGAGCAGGTGCGCGATTGGCCAAAGTCCTATAAAGCATGTCTTATTGGAAGCCAGAGGATGACATCTGTGATTGGGCCAGTGAGCTAAAATGTTATCTAGTATAGAGCATAAACTGCATGTACTCGGATCCCGGACTCGACTGGGGATTAAACTCTGTATTGCAAAGTTGCTTTAATTTTATTTATCTTGAGAAAGATTTCCCCATGTCTGTTTTTCTTAATCGTTGACTGATTGACTCAAAAAAAAAAGGATCATCTAGACGCCCTTTTCACTGCACTTAAACCGGTTCCATTTCACCTGATGATCTATTAATACAGTGACGTTCCAGATTATCTCACTTTTCATTTTCTTACCGAGCTTTTCTATTAATGATTGAGACGTGTCAGAATGCTTAGAATTGATTGACGCATGTCTTTTTGTCTAAACAACAGAAAAATTCCATCCCCGTTTCTTACACCCACCTCGCAAGGGCTGAGTGCCTCAGCTGGAACGTTGTCGACCTCCGCCAGGAAGGCGCGAAATCTCAACAAGCAGAAGCACCAGCAACTGCAACGACTTCTGGCCGGAGCCAGGCGGGAGAAAGCCGCCTCTCAGTCGCCTCTCAAGGATTTCCTCATTTCACTCTGAGGACAGTTTTGCATCAGTCTACATGTATGCCTTTTGCTCCAAAGGAAACAGTTCAACAGGTTGAAGAATTTGTTCAGGTCCAGCATTTCACTGACCTCCAGCAGTTCTGGTTAAATGTACATGAATATGCATGTCTAATCCGCAAAAGACTGAGGTTGTTTTGTAAGGTTATCCTGTATACAATATCGCATCTTGAATAATTTCTGTTGATTGCTAAAAGGTACAACAGCCAGCAAAAAAATAATTGTTTCCCCACTGAAAAGATCGTGTTTCCATTCTGTAAAGAGTGACCTCAACATTTTAAACCCAGGACTATCTCAAATAGCATCCATGCATTGGTATAGAGAGCGTTTCACCTAAAGAGTCGGTGCAGTAAGTTGAACACGAGTAACGCGGCCTGTTTACAGTTATGATTGATATTCTGTGTACTTTTACATGTTACGTTTTGATGTCAACATCAAGCAAGAGGTTGATACATGTCCATGCAATGATTCTCAGCCATCTTGTTCTACTCGTCAACCTCGAGGGACGGCGCAAACTTTGAAATCCTTTGGCGCCCAGGTCGCGTTATTAATTCCTTCAAGGGTGACGGGCGGAGCATCTGGAGGATTCTTGAAGGTGAACTCGTGGAGGAGGAGGGTGAAGAAGATGAAGAGCTCCATCCTAGCGAGATGCTCACCCAGGCAGATGCGCCGACCTGGAAAATAAAGGACACAGTGTTCAGACTGGGTTTTTTTTATATATATAAACTTTTCTCGTTTCTGACCCAGTTCGAGTCCCACCCAGTGCTAGATTCCACAGGATTACGAGAATATTTACACGGTAGAGGTACTTATTTGACATCAACCCTAAAACTGAACTCCACCTCATTATCTTCACAGGTGTCTCTAGTCTTCCAAAGTTTTGTGGAATAAGCAGCGAAGTATGTTTCAGTAAAATGGACAATAATTGTATGTACGTCTACAGATACTTGTACGTTAAAGTTACCAGACTAAACCTTCACGGCCTCCGTTCAAGAGAAAATGCACACTCGAGAGAGTAACAGAAAATTATCACCCATTGCGCGCGAAGCCAAAGCGACCGCACAGGTTTCCATTTCCAATGTTTTAATGGAAATCAATAAGGTTATGTTTATTCCGGTGCAAACAAGTTGCATGGGGTGAAGTCAGCCTCATGGACTCAGGGACGGAGTGAGATTCCTCAGGAGTTTCAGCAGAACGCATGTCAACAGACGCAGATTTGTCAGAAGGTTCACCTCTCAAGGCGAGGATCCTCAATTTTGTCTGCCTCCAGTCTTTGCCCGTAGGTTGCCTGTTCTCCGCGCCTTACGTTGGCAAGAACTTGCGCGGCGTGTGCCCGCACTGAAGCTCTTGTGACTGAAAACCTAGCTCTGGATCTACTTTGTGTTTTTGTGCAGAGTCCACATACAGTGGATAAATACGATGTACATGTACTCACCCATCCCAAAGGGAGTCAACTCTTCACAGGTAATAACTTTTTGATTGTCGTCCAGGAACCGCTCCGGACGAAACGCCTCAGGCTCTTTCCAAATCGTAGGATCGTAGTGGCTGTGCCACAAGTTGGACAGAACTACAGTTCCCTTTGGAATGTCGTATCTGAAGTGATAGTTAAAAATAATTAAACTGTGCCCTGACTTACGTTAAAACGATTTGGATAGGAAATTGAAATGACCAGACAGAAGGCTACTTGCACCTTGTTGATAGTAATCAATCTGAGAAGTTTTTGCTTGGCGCATAATTGAAGACTTCGAGAATGGTGCGCTTCGATTGCAAGGTTTTGTGGGATGTAAACGATCCACAAAATGGTTGATTGAGATTTTGACAGGCTAAAAACTGGAAAAAAATTCCATGGTCTTTTTTGCAAAGTGGCCTTAAGTATACCATCATATGTCACCCCTTTCAGTCCTACGTATTCACTTCACGTACCCAAACAGCGTTGTATCCTCGGAAGAGATGTGAGGCACAGCCAGCGGAACGATGGTACTGATGCGTTGGATCTCACAGATAACCGCCTCAGTGTAGGGCAGGTCTGGCTTGTCAGACATCCTGGGGAATCGGTTTCGTTTAGTCACCTCATCTAACTCCTTCTGCACGTGGGCCTGTACCTGGGGGTAAGCCATCATGTAGAGCAAACTCCATCGAAGAGTTGTCGAGGTAGTCTCACTTCCAGCCACGAACAGGTCGCCAACTACCTGCCGCATGTTGTTTTCATTGAAGACTTCAGACGTGCCGCCATGTTTGGTTTCCTCTTTCTTGAACGCGTCAGTGAAATCGCGAATGTTGTCTGCGTCGAAGTCCTGGTTGTGGACGTCAACCATCAGGAAAATCTGATCGATTAGCGCCTGGGCTGCATCCCTATACTTCCGGACAAAAGGTAAGAATGTCAGTTTTGCGAAAAGCGGCGAGAATTCAATGGCGCCCCCTGCGCCAATCTGCTCGAAAACATCATCTGTGTACTGGATGAGACGTCTAAAGTTTACGTCGGTGTACTGAAACCTCTCGCCAAATACTACGGCGCAGATGACGTTGGACACAGATCGTGAAATCAGGTGTCTGGGGTCGAAGGGAGCTCCATCAACCTTCTTCCACTCGTCGATCAGGAAATTGGCCTCCGTTGCAATGTTCTCTTCAAAGCTCGACTTGCCCACACCCAACCCTCTCAGAACAGTCAAAGAAAACCTTCGTATCTCCGTCCAGATCTCGCCGGAAGATACAAAAATACCTAAGAGTGGAGAGAATGAGACATGCAAGTAAGCAGGATTGATCCAATCAGTTTGGTTGGCCTACCAATTTTCGGTCGTGTTCAGCTGTAATTGTTTTTAACGCTCACTCTTTTTTTATTCCGCTGTATATCATGCCATCTGTCACTGCTTGTATGAAGTTCAATTCTTGCACCAATTTTCCTCAGTTTTGTTCAACGATAGAATAAATTTTGAAAATTAGATTTCCATGAACATTTCTGGCTTGTTTCGAGCTCCAAAGTTCCCTCTTCATCATCTCATGTCACTCTCGTTCAGTTATTGCTGCGCGTCATGCGATTCTGTATTTAATTTCACTGACCGACACCAGGTCGAAGCTTCTCACTGACGTACAGTTTTGGCCTGGCACTCAGCTGGGGCTGGTTGAAGGCTTCTCTGATGGCGTCAGCTCCGTGCAGAACCACGATCAAATTTCCCGCCAATTTCACACTGACCACTTTACCGTACCTACCGAGAGAAATGCATCATGAATACGTGTACAACTTCAGCTTGAAGGACGTTGTCGCCTGAGTGGTACGCGTTTACTGTCTTGAATATGGGATGGCTATTATTTGTATCTCGATACTCAAGATTGTAATATGATTGTATATAATTGTAATATGTAATATGGTTGTAAAATTGAGATTAGCTTCAGCCCATGCGATGAAAGGGTAGCTGCAATCAAATTGTTTTAATACAAGTCTTAAAAATGCGCTTTTGTGTCTCAGTTAACCTTATTTTCAACTTCTCTTTCACTAATTCAAAGGGTATTTTGCTGCTTTTTGGGGTTTATGCTAATGATGTTTCCATATTCCTGAGCAAAACTGTGATGTCATCACTGGAAGAAAGCTTTAATGTTACTTTGGTTTGTACACACAAAAAGTTATGCATTTTTGTAGATTTGGCTGGACTAAATTCTCTCATCTTTGCTAATTCTTTGTTGTCTGTGCATAGCAATAAGTGAACACCGATGCTTTTTTTCAGAAATGTTTTCAGTAAGTAAATTCTGGGTTTACAATTTTAATTAGACAAAAAATCCTATGCAATGAACTTTATCTTCCCTGGATGACATCACGGAAACAGCGCCCTCAGTTGTCCAGGAAAGCATGGACAATTTAAGTGTTTTTGTTTTTTCAAGTGCACCTTTCAGTGCATTTAACCAATGGGAGTTAAAAAGTGTTCATACAGTGAAAAAGAGTACAAAGTTGCAGAAAAATTCTGTCCACGAAAACTTAATTGCGTCTGCTCTTTTAAGGTTGAGTATGTATTGAGAGGTTATGCCACATAATGAAGGGCAATTAAGAGCTTTGTATGAGGCATTCATGAAAACATGATGAAACTAACGAAGAACAGCCTTCAACGCACCCGAGCAATGCATTTTTAAAACCTCTTCTGTCCCATTATAAGGACAAAGGCCAACAATTTACCACGGTTTTCCCCCCTCTGTAAAATTGGAGCGCTCGATCTCCCGTGGAGCTATAACAGCCGCTGCTTTGCAGTTTAAATCAGCGCCATATTCAGTGACAGAACCACTCACCTGTCAGCTAATTTTGAGAAGTATCTGTGTGGCTCTGCCCTTACTCTGACGAGTTGTGGTAGGTTGCCAAGCAGCGGCCATCCCCTGGGGCCAGGCGGGAGATTACGTGGTGGACGGCGAAGGAGGCGATACAGCAACAGGAACACCGCTACGCCGAGGAGCGCTGAGCGGGCGTCGAGCAAATTCATGCCAGCGAACGCTTCCATGTTCCGGTCTGTGTCTCGCAAACTTGCAAGCTCTTTTATGTCGTCTAGAGTCACTCTCACTTCACACCATGTTCACACTAACAATGACTTTAAAAAGGTGGATTGCAAGCAATGCGTTCATGAAGGCCAAAGTCTGTCTATCGATCGCGGTCAAAGTTCAATCTTTAGTAGACTTAATTTCCAGTCCGCCGGAGACTTTAAGGCCTAAACTCATGGATGGTTCATCGAACTTCGAAGCAAGCTGCGCGCGCTCAGTCGAACATGTAGTGCCTTTGCAATCCGGTTTGTAAGTGGGACGTCACTTCAGTTTAAACCACGCCCACTGCACACGTGCACTGCACGTAGGGTTACATGCATTGATCGCCGTTTACATGGAACCGGAAGTTAACGCGCACCTTCAGCGATTGTCCAATGAGAGCCTGCAGATCGTGGCGCAGCCGCCTTTGTGACAAAGTCACTTACGAACCGGATAGGGCCTGAAAGTAAAAGTTCACGCAGCGAGCTTCCGGAAGCCTTGAGCGGTCTGCCTATGGGGATTTACATTGGATCGTCCTATCACGTTCGATATTTTTTGGAAAAGTAATTCCTTACTGAAACCACCCCATGAAACACTCATGCTGGAATTTACCTTTGTCTTCCTCAAGTAATATTTGGGAAAAGTCACCTGGAGATGGGTTAAAAAAAACGAATTTCCTTAGCGACCTTTTCTTCCAGCGATATCGTACCTAGGTCTCCTTGTTCATACACGTTTGTTTTCATTCGCCGTGCTTTCTTGAAAACGAGATTGTACAACCTTGCAAAGATTTACCTACCTGCAGTCGATGGGTTCAGATTTTGTTGAGTTGACATCACGCAGTTGTTGCCAGCAAAGGTTAGATAAAATATGAGAATCTTTCGTAAAAGTAGAATATTGCTTTATATGTTTATGACTTATAAATTATAAAAGTTTGTAAAATATTTTGATCTGTTTTTATTGGGTTTTTATTCACAGACTACCATAAAATTTCACATTGTAAATGTTCATCTGCGTACGAGACGGCTGCATTGCACTGTTCTTCATGTATTTTATATTTTCGGAAATGATGGGTCAATACTTAGCAGGATGTTTCTCTTTTAGGTCAGGTAATTTTTCAGTTTCTGTAAGTTGATATACTAGCAAATATTTTTCAAAGCCCTTTTTCGAAGTTGGATATTTTAAGAAAAAACTGAACACAAAACTTTACAAATTCTAAACTCTTTATACACGTTATTTTTCCTATCCAAGGGTTCCGGAAGCGCGCCATTAGGGGTCAACTTTCAGGCTCTATATAAAGCCTGTACACCCCTTCGATTTGACTGTTGCATGCTGATAAGACAAATAAGATCTTCTAGTTATTTTCCATTCAGTAAAACGTTTTGGTAAACCAATAAAGGTAGCTTTAGCGTTACCTTTTTGTTTTTGTTGTTGCTTTTTTTGGCTGTGCGTGAATTTAAGAAGGATGTTAGGGTTTCTTTATAATCTAGGCTCTCTATCCTTCCATTTTCGAAGCAGTTTATGGCTTCTGCAAGGAAGGATGCGTGTTGTGTTAACCGAGGGACATAGCATGCACGTAGTGTACCACACGCCATAGGCCTAACAATGTTCTGACCTGCACTTTGTGCAGAAGCACAGACCAAAAACTCTCATGGTCGAAAGAAGAGAAGAGGGTGCTTCAAACATTACCTGTTTCAAAGACTTTACTTTTTATTGTTTTCTTCAAAGGGATTCATCCCTATTTGTCGGCATGTATTTCTAAAGCTTAGTTTTCTGTGATTATTTTGACTTTATCTGTATATTCAGATTTTTTTCAAAACAAAATTGAACCCTACAATGTACATTTTATGGAAATGCGAGTTGAACGCGTAGGTTTTCATTTGTCAGGATTTTTCAGGATTATAATTATCAAATAGGACGATGTAGCTGAAACCTATAACTTTCTTTTCCAAACAAAATTGTTGGAAAGAGCTTTGTAGAATAAAGCGTCCCACTGACACACAGGCTACATTATACCTGATACTTCTTTACAGAGAACCTAGACAAAGTTTCTCCTTAAAATGAGTAAAATGAATACGCATAAAAGCATAAAAAATTGGCAGAATGGCATTCGGGCAGCATTATCCGCACAATTTACGACGCAATTTGGTGGCTAACACGGACGTATATAAAACAAAACCTGGACTTGCAACGCCTTTGTATGAAATAGAAGCCAACCAGCGGCCATTTTACCGAGCTGAATACAAATGCGCGGGTTGGCTCGCTTCTATTGGCGTTAGGAAGAACAAAGGCGGGCATTGCCGGGAAAGCTTTGTATTCGGCTCGGTAAAATGGCCACGAGTGCATTCAATGATCTCTATAAGCTGATTAAGGGCATTGTGAGTCCAGATTTTTTTTTATATACGTCCGTGGTGGCTAACCATTAGGCCTACGCATTTTTGCCTAGAGGCTGACATTTTAATCTGCTGCTCTTTAAATTGCCATGAGAATTGTCGTGGTCTCCGAGCGCGTTTCTGCTGGAGGGCGGTTAAAAATGATTCATGAATAATAAAAGATTATTTGATCGTTGTTAATTGTCGCGATGGATATTTCTGAAGTCGTCCCTTGAAACTGAATGGCCTGTCATTCATCTATCAGAATTTTGACAAAACTTTCATTTGGTAACATTTCTCTTATATTCATGGATGCCGCAAATAGATTCTTGGTGATTTCTAGCCATGCATGAGTTTACGTATTAGGCTCGTGGGATGACGCAAACTTTGAACTTCTTTGGCGCCCAAGTTACCGTGTCGATTCCGTCGAATGTGACGGGCGGAGCATCTGGGGGATTCTTGAAGGTGAACTCGTGGAGGAGGAGGGTGAAGAAGATGAAGAGCTCCATCCTAGCGAGATGCTCACCCAGGCAGATGCGCCGACCTGGAAGATCAATTGATTGAATGGAAATACATGAAGCACTCAGACTTTTTGGTTGAAAACCTACAAGAGAATATTGAGCCTCAAGGATTCGAGGTACGTGGGATTCCTCAGGAGTCCTATCGGAGCTCTTATCAACGGGCACAGTCCTGTTTAGTCAGGTCAAGTCACTTGAGGAGGATCCTCCCCTAGCTTCTCCCAAAAGGAGCCAGTGCTTCGCGCTATGATCATACACGTTATTGCCTCAGTATTGTATTTAACACCCATCTTGTATAGCTGGTAGGCCTAGGCCTATAAAGTTCCCGCACGGAGTCCACACATGTACTTGCCTATTCCGAAGGGAGTCAGCTCTTCACACTTTATAAACTTTTTCTCGTCCTCCAGGAATCGCTCCGGACGGAATGTCTCGGGCTCTCTCCAAATCGTAGGATCGTAGTGGCAGTGCCACAGGTTGGACAGAACTACGGTTCCTTTTGGAATATCGTACCTATGTAAAGAGGTTCAAAAATGATACTTGCTTTGAAACGAAATCAATTAAGATTTGAAAAGCATTACAATGATTAGACAAAGCGTCATTTGCGACTTGTAGACTACAACCGGAAACCATCTGAAATTTTTGCTTTCATGACTTGTATATGTTGCTATATTCTTCAGGCGACTGGTGTGCATCGACTGCAAACTGGATTCAAGGATTCGTTCCTCCATGCTGAATTTAAACAGCACAGAAGATAATGAGAGAATACACGTTTCTCGTGTCGACAGGCTTCATGTTTCTCGTGATACCACAATGATACTGATATTGTCGTTGGTTTTCATATTACTTTGTGGACCGCTCGTGCACTTCAAAATGTTTTTCAGAATGACAAAGGTCATCTTTCCTGCCGTGCACCATTGTGTGCCGCTCCCTGTCATGGGCCTAGGTGAAATACATTTGTACAAATACACATTAAGTAATTGAAATAAAAGTATACCCCAAAAGGGTCGTATCCTCTGAGCAAAAGTGGGGCACTGACAGCGGTACGATGGTACTGATGCGTTGGATCTCACAGATAACCGCCTCAGTGTAGGGCAGGTCCGGCTTGTCAGACATCCTGGGGAATCGATTTCGTCCAGTCACGTCGTCTAACTCCTTCTGCACGCGGGCCTGTACCTCGGGGTATGCCATCATGTAAAGTATACTCCAGTGAAGGGTAGTCGTGGTGGTCTCGGTTCCGGCACCGAAAAGGTCGGCCACCACTCGCTTCATGTTATCTCTGCTGAAGACGTCGGACGTGCCGCCATGTTTGCTTTCCTCTTGCAAGAACGCGTCGGTGAAATCGCGTATGTTGTCTGCATCGAAGTCTTGGTTATGTGTGTCAACCATCCGGCAAATCTGATCGATTAGCGCCTGGGTTGCATCTTTGTACTTTCGGACAAAAGGTAAGAATGTCAGTTTAGCGAAAAGCGGCGTGAAATCGACAACGCCGCCAGCACCTATCTGTTCAAAGACATCGTCAGAATACTGGATGAGATATCTAAAATTCACGTCGGTGTATTGAAACCTTTCTCCAAATACTACGGCGCAGATCACGTTGGATATGGACTGTGAAATCATGTGTTTGGGATCGAGGGGCGCTCCCTTAACCTTCTTCCACTCGTCAGTCAGGAAGAGGGCCTCCGTTGCTATGTTCTCCTCGAAGCTCGACTTCCCCATGCCAAACCCCCTCAAAACTTTCAAGCAGAACCTCCTTAATTCCGTCCAGATCGCGCCGGAGGAAATAAAAATACCTGAAAGTAGGATGAAGAATTGTTATGTTCCAAGAATACACATTGGTTCAATAATTTTATGTGAGCACTTACTGTACTCTGGGTTGAAATAGGGGATGGTATCACCGGAAAATGTAACCAGTGAATGGTTATTTTTGTTTGCAGTTTCTGCAGACACACGACCCTGTGTTCTACTTGCGTCAAGGCCTATCCAAACTTCTATTTCTCCTGCCAGTGAGGCCTCGGAACAGTGAACTCTTTCATTCTTGCGAATCTTTAATGCTTTACTATTTGATCTTAATTAAATATGTGATTCCCCTCACCGACACCAGGTCGAAGCTTCTCGCTTACGTACAGTCTTGGCCTGGCACTCAGCTGGGGCTGGTTGAAGGCTTCTCTGATCACGTCGGCTCCATGCAGAACCACGATCAAATTTCCCGCCAAATTCACACTGATTACATTACCGTATCTGCCAAGAGAAACGCACGTATAGCTTTAGTCTTTGGCGTAGTTCGGCCTGCGTGTAAGACCGATTTGCAATTATGTGCACTATTTATGCTCAGGTTGGTTTGAATTATCACATTCATCGAGGCTAGGCCAGTTTAGTTAAGGCTCAGTACTGTCTCACTGGAAGAGTAAGCCCACAGAAATTGAAGGGAAAATATCTCATTTGCTGTTTGCTCTCTTTAAAACCGTAGCTGTCGCTTCATAGTTTAAGGTGTTGTTGAGTGAAACAACTGACACGCTGTTATACCACCACTCACCTGGCTGCTAAATTTGAGAAATATCTGTGTGGCTCTGCCCTCATTCTAGCGAGCTGCGGTAGGTTGCCTAACACCGGCCATCCCTTAGGGCCAGGCGGGAGATTGCGAGAAGGATGACGGCGAAGGAGCCAATACAGTACGAGAAACACCGCAACACCGAGGAGCGTCGAGCGGGCGTCCAGCGGATTCAAGTCGGTGAACGATTCCATCTTACCGTAAACGTCCCTGGACTGGTACGCTATATGTAACTCGTTTCCACCGTCACTGTCACAATGAACTGCAATGCATTTTTAGGGCTAAGCCCATTGTGTCAATTGTGGGGCTCAGAAATGATCCCAGTCCACCGTAAGCTTTTAGGCTTAAAAGCTAAACCCTTTTAGTTTACCAAAGGAGTTTGGATGGTTCAATGAACTTTGCAGTCCACAAGAGCGTAATCATGTTTTGCCCTTGGTAATGGACTGTGCGCCTGTTTGTTTAAGCTGTTGTTGAGACAGTAAGATCTTCCGGTTATCTCCATCCAGTAAAAATTAACTTGGTAGACAAAAACTTTGCTATGTCATTTGTTGACCGTGCAAGAATTGTAACTCCTGTCACTTTATCCGCTCTGTAAGAGTTTGAAATAATGTTATTCTTTGTTGTTGTGGCAGATGTAGGCTTCTGCAAGGAAGGATGGATTGATGATCATCCGAGCCAGGGGCACGGTGGGCAGGTCATATTCCGGAAGCCTTCACAAGTTTGCTTCCCTGCTCTGAAAGAAAACCCTGCCCCAATCACATGACCACTGTATAGATAGAGGGCACTTAAACATTACCTGTATGAAAAGAGTTTGCTTTTGTTCAAAGCAAGTCTTTCCAAAACCGATAGGTGTGCTTTTCAAACACTTTTAAACTTCAAATTTACCAAATACAAAATGAACTCTTTAACGAAAGTGCAAGTTGATGCGTGGTTGTATTCATCTTTGAAGATAGCGAAGTCGTATTGTTTTACCTGTTTTACTGAAAATCCTACTTTTATCTCCTTCAAGATAAATTAGAAGGCGCCGTGCAAAAGACATAAGACTGGCAGACGGGATGGATGATATTAGATCTCTTATTGGACAATCTAGTCATTTCTGGAACCTATCTTAAGAAGAATCTGACGAACTGTACAATTTTCTCCCGCTCTTCAAATCACCATGACAACTAGTGCTGGATCGGGGCGGGTTTCTGGTGGAAGTCGATTAAAGCTTTGACATGTACAACTCTAAGCATTGGGTATAATTTTACATAATGATAATCTTTGTTAAATGGTTGTTTAATCTATTGTTATTTTCTGCCTCGATTGAGATTCTTACACGAAAGATCGACAAAATGAGTGACTTTTTTTTTTTCAATCGAAATATCGATAAATTTCCAATAACGTCACTTTCATTGGCGTGGAATGGCGCAAGCTTTGAAATTCTTGGGCGCCCAAGTGGCGGCGTTGACACCTTCCAACGTGACAGGCGGAGCATTTGGGGGATTCTTGAAGGTGAACTCGTGGAGGAAGAGGGTGAAGAAGATGAAGAGCTCCATCCTAGCGAGATGCTCACCCAGGCAGATGCGCCGACCTGGAAGATGAATCGAGAGAAGAGGTCACTGAAAACGTATTATTCCGAAGCCGACAATGTGTCAAACAGAGACAGACACGTCGTGAGAAGTTGCAACTCCGGTTTACTTGCCTATTCCGAAAGTAGTCAGCTCTTCGCGGCTCCTCAACTTGCCTTTGGCATCCAGGAAGCGCTCCGGACGGAACGTCTGAGGGTCTTTCCACACCGCAGGGTCGAAGTGATTGTGCCACAGATTGGAAAGGACAAGAGACCCCTTCGGAATGGTGAACCTGAATTTGGATAAAATTGTATTCCGTGCAGGTTAAAGAACGTGTGAAATTGAAGTAAAGGAGAGCCCGAGGAGCCAGTGTGTATTTGTTATTCACTCGTTTTGTGCAGCATTTTTTTTTGTCATGGAAGAATTTGAATGCCTGGAGTCGCAAGATAACCTCCCTCAACCCCCAGACCTTCCGGCAAAACCACACCGAACCCAAAATCTAAACCAAAACAAATATCCCCAACACAAGTTCAAAACAGAAAACTTATATTATATATAAATCTGACTTCTGCCCTAGCACATTCATTCCATATTAATTTTCGTTACAATGCAGAAGTTGTTTGGTTTTTACCCTTGAAATGTAATGTCTTCCGTGCTGTAGTGAGGCACAGCCAGCGGAACGATGGTACTGATGCGTTGGATCTCACAGATAACCGCCTCAGTGTAGGGCAGGTCTGGCTTGTCAGACATCCTGGGGAATCGATTTCGTCCAGTCACGTCGTCTAACTCCTTCTGCACGCGGGCCTGTACTTCAGGGTAAGCCATCATGTAGAGTACTCCATCGAAGAGTAGTCGCGGTAGTCTCGCTTCCAGCTATGAAGAGGTCGCCGACCACTTTCCTCATGTTATCTTTTTGGAAGACCTTGGACTCGCCTCCGGCCGTCTCCTTCGTCTCCTTGTGCTTCAGGAAAGTGTCGATGAGATCGCGAAGGTTGTCAGGGTCGTAGTCCCAGCCGTGCTCGTCTATCAACATGGTAACCTGTTGGTTGAATCGTCTGACTGTCTCCACGTAGCGTTTGATGCTCGGGAAGAAGGTGAGTCTCGCGAGAAATGACGAAAATTCAATTGCACCCCCTGCTCCAACTTGATCCATGACGTCATCTGAGTATTGGAGAAGATTTTCCAACATCTTATCCATGTAGTGGAACCTCTTGCCTACAACCACGGAGCAGATAACGTTGGACACGGAACAGGCTATCAGATGCCTTGGGTCGAAAGGAGCTCCGTCTATCTTCTTCCATTCCTCGATGAGGAACTTTGCTTCCATCGCTATGTTCTCCTCAAAGCTCGACTTACCCACGCCAAAACCTCTCAAAACCGTCAAGGAAAATCTCCTTATCTCGGTCCAGTTCTCGCCGGACGAGCCTATGATACCTGCAAAAGCGTAAACAGACTCGAAATGAAGTCAATCGCCGTTTGGATGACCGTTTCTTGCTGCTCGATTCTCAGCAAAAAATTAATGTCCAGAACCTTGCTTAGAGGAAGTTGAAGTTTCTTTCCCTATTATGAGAGCTTACCTACACCTTGGCGGAGGTTCTCACTGACGTAGAATGGGGGTCTGGCGGTGAGTTGGTGTAGATTGAAGGCTGCCTTGATTGTGTCGTGTCCATGTAGAACTATCAGAACAGTTCCCGCCAAATCCAAGCTGATGATGTTTCCATACCTGTATAATAAATATACATGTAGTATATATACAGTGATATTGCGGGAACACCTGCTTCACATGGAAGAAATCAGCTTTACATGATGACGGGACAAACTCATGTTTGACAATATGTTTGCAGTCGAATAAAATAATGTTTTACAGCTGTGTCTTCAAGCATGACACCTGGACATACTTTTTAGCCAGTTTGGAGAACACCACGTGTGGATCTTCACTGGTGGATGCAAGCTGCGGTAGATAGCCAAGCAGCGGCCATCCCCTGGGGCCAGGCGGGAGATTACGCGTTGCACGGCGGCCAAGGAGGCGATATATCACCAGAAACACCGCAACACCGAGGAGCACCGAGCGGGTGTCGAGAAAATTCAAGCTGGTGAACGAATCCATCTTGTCTGTTCTGTCTGCTACGGAGCNAGCAAAGAGTGCGATGAACTCGACCTTTACAATGATCTCAAAGCTAGGACTATTCAACATGGTTCAAATGTGATGTATGACCGATATGTCACCTGGGTAGTAGTCATGAGGTCGGAATTCAAAGTCCACTAGTTTGGTATTGCATGGTACACTTACGTTATGCACTTTGAAGTGGCGATTAAAAAAAACAACCTCGAAATTCACATCTGTATCCCTTTCGTTTTTGTTTCCAATATCCGTATTACCACCTCTTTCAGGATGGGGCTTTTGGGGTTTCTTCCTTTGCTAATTTCTCTATTCGTGAGCTTTTTAGGGACGCCATGTCAGGTAGAAACTTTTGTCTCCAGACTTCAACTCAAATATCGCGAGAATTTTTTCCAATCGAGAAATTAATTTCGACCTTCAAGACAAAGTGCAGTAATGAAACAAATTATGCTTCAATGAGATGTTTTAAAGGTTCGGGTTAAGGTTCGTATAAATGTCTTTTTAGGATATTGTGTAGGCTTTGCAGAAAAAAGAATTATCTGGACAACCTAGTTTTCATCGTCCAAAGATTGTTTACACTGAAGTTATATTTCCTACAGATTCCTACATTTTAGTCTGCCACCTTTGACTGCCAGCCTTATCCACAAATACACGGCTTGGGAAGTTAACATCCATCACAGAAAAGAGGGGACCTCGGCGAACAGACATCAATCGTGACGCTGCCATGTTTGTCTTGTTCCATGTAGACCCATTTGAAATAGTAATACAACTTCACATGTTGATAAAAGGGAGCAGACTACTTTTCCTTCCAGCCTCGGTATGGTTACATTGCTTGAATGTCAAAAAAGCAAGATGGCTGCCCAATTATACAGGTCTATGGTTGGAGAGGTGACACAGAGCCCATAGGTAGTCTTTAAGTAGAAACTGAAATTTAAAATAAAACGAAAGGAAAATTGTAAGATCAAAAGTGCATTTAAGATCATTTAAAGTTAATTTTTAGGTTCATATCACCGCCTGCCCCGAGTCTTATATTTTACAATTCTTTTTTTTTTTCTTTCTCTCCAGAACAAAAAAATCAGAAAGAAATCGTGAAATCGAAAAGAAAATTGTCCCAGTGGTCTTAATTTTTAATTTCCAGCAAAACAACAAGGCCATTATCTTCCTGGGCGTCACCAGGCGGCGTAATTTCTACTGGATTTTGCGCTGTTATCTCTGGGCGTGTATTAGTGTAGTGCAACCTTAACGACACTTACTGCACTGCCAAAAAAACCTCAGCTCGCTGACAAACAACTCTCATCGCGCAGTGAAACAACTCTCGTTGCGCAGTGAAACAACTCTCCTGCGCAGTGAAATAACTCTGATCGCGCAGTGAGACAACTCTCGTTGCGCAGTGAAACAACTCTCATCGCACAGTGAAACAACTCTCCTGCGCATTGAAACAACTCTTATCACGCAGTGAAATAACTCTCATCGCGCAGTGAAATAACTCTCATCGCGCAATGAAACAACTCTCACTGTGCTGTGAAACAACTCTCATCACGCAGTGAAATAACTCTCATCGCGCAGTGAAACAACTCTCGTTGCGCAGTGAAACAACTCTCGTTGCGCAGTGAAACAACTCTCACTGTGCTGTGAAACAACTCTCCTGCGCATTGAAACAACTCTCATCACGCAGTGAAACAACTCTCATTGCGCAGTGAAACAACTCTCGTTGCGCAGTGAAACAACTCTCGTTGCGCAGTGAAACAACTCTTATCACGCAGTGAAATAACNCGCACAGAGTGCGATGAACTCGACCTTTACAATGATCTCAAAGCTAGGACTATTCAACATGGTTCAAATGTGATGTATGACCGATATGTCACCTGGGTAGTAGTCATGAGGTCGGAATTCAAAGTCCACTAGTTTGATATTGCATGTTACACTTACATTACGCACTTTGAAGTGGCGATTAAAAAATACATCCTCGAAATTCACATCTGTATCCCTTTCGTTTTTGTTTCCAATCTCTGTATTACCACCTCTTTCTAGATGGGGCTTTTGGGGTTTCTTCCTTTGCTAATTTCTCTATTCGTGAGCTTTTTAGGGAGGCCATGTCAGGAAGAAACGTTTGTGCTTGTCTTTAGACTTCAACTCAAATATCGCCAGAATTCCGAGGGGATGGTTCACGTGTACCACAGTTTTTTTCCAATCGAGAAAGTAATTTCGACCTTCAAGACAAAGTGAAGTAATGAAAAAAATTATGCTTCAATGAGATATTTTTAAAGGTTCGGGTTAAGGTTCGTACAAATCTCTTTTTAGGATATTGTGTAGGCTTTGCAGAAAAAAGAATTATCTGGACAACCAAGTTTTTCATCGTCCAAAGATTTTTTACACTGAAGTTATATTTCCTATAGATTCCCACATTTCAGTCTGCCACCTTTGACTGCCAGCCGCATCCACAAATACACGGTTTGGGAAGTTAACATCCATCACAGAAAAGAGGGGACCTCGGCGAACAGACATCTATCGTGACGCTGCCATGTTTGTCTTGTTCCATGTAGACCCATTTGAAATAGTAATACAACTTCACATGTTGACAAAAGGGAGCAGACCACTTTTCCTTCCAGCCTCAGTATGGTTACATTGCTTTGAATGTCAAAAAAAGCAAGATGGCTGCCCAATTACAGAGGTCCATGGTTGGAGAGGTGACACAGAGCCCGTAGGGTCTACTGGGCTTCTCTCGCGCGACATCACCGCTGCAGTTTCAATCAGTGGTTGACAAACCTCGTCCGAATGTCAGTTCAAGAACAGATTCAAACATTTCACGAAGCCGTTAAAATACAAGTTTACCAAGTAAAGAGTGCCAACAAATACTCGTTGACAACACCACCCTTCCGTATAGTGTTCTATTTAGGCCACATCACACTGCATGATGAGAGCTATTTCACTGCGTGATGAGAGTTGTTTGGCTGATCTAATGGTAGGCTCCAATTTTTGTGCTTTAGGGGAATGATCACAAGAGTTCACCAAGACCATTTTAATACATGTATAGCCTGAAAGTTGACCTCTGAAAGCAAGCGCTTCTGGAATCTTTGGGTGGAGAAAATAATGTGCAAACATTTTATCGACGATTTTCTTTTCATGAAAATTTTAGAAATTGTAATTATTTATTCAATTGAAAAATTGACTGATCTGAAGAAAAATATGTCCGAAATTGACCTTTCATTTCTGTAAATCTCAACTACATCACAATCAGGTGACTCGGTGAATTCCCACACACATTAAAATGTAACGAAACCATTTTGTGGTAGTCTTTAATTAGAAACTGAAATTTAAAATAAAACGAAAGGAAAATTGTAATATCAAAAGTGCATTTAAGATCATCTAAAGTTAATTTTTAGGTTCATATCACCGCCTGCCCTGAGTCTTATATTTTACATTTCTTAATTTTTTCTTTCTTTCCAGAAAAAAAAATTCAGAAAAAAATCGTAAAATCGAAAAGAAAATTGTCCCAGTGGTCTGAATTTTTAATTTCCAGCAAAACAACAAGGCCATTATCTTCCTGTGCGTTACCAGACGGCGTAATTTCTACTGGATTTAGCGCTGTTATCTCTGGGCGTGTATTCGTGTAGTGCAACCGTAACGACACTTACTGCACTACCAAACAGTCAACCTCAGTGCGCTGACAAACCACTCTCATCTCACAGTGAAACAACTCTCCTGCGCAGTGAAACAACTCTCCTGCGCAGTGAAATAACTCTGATCGCGCAGTGAGACAACTCTCCTGCGCAGTGAAACAACTCTCCTGCGCAGTGAAACAACTCTCATCGCACAGTGAAACAACTCTCATCGCACAGTGAAACAACTCTCCTGCGCAGTGAAACAACTCTCATCACGCAGTGAGACAACTGTCATCGCGCGCGCGCATTGAAACAACTCTCATCGCGCAGTGAAACAACTCTCATCGCGCATTGAGACAACTGTCATCGCGCGCGCGCGCGCATTGAAACAACTCTCATCGCGCAGTGAAACAACTCTCATCGCGCATTGAGACAACTGTCATCGCGCGCGCGCATTGAAACAACTCTCATCGCGCAGTGAAACAACTCTCATCGCGCAGTGCATGCAATGACATTCACCGAGCAGTGTAATGTGGCAACACCATACTTTTAGAGCAAATGTGTATTCAGAGTGAAAAAAAAAATCAAGGGCGAAAGCTTTGCAAATTACAGTTTAGGCGCCCTTATCAAATAAAGTAACGTCAGTGCTTGTGCGTACACGAAAGTTGTCCCGTGACTTGCGATGACCAACCACTGTTTACCTTGATACATTTTCCATGTGCGATCTCAATTAGGTGCGGTGACGTCAGAATCGCGAACTTGACCCGCCCGGCTTGCGTGTAGTGTACGTTGCACAGTAGGGAGAGTAAGCGAGCCGTGTTATTGTGGATCATCAACCATGCATGAAGACTTTTTTTATCAGACTAATCAGGTTGTTTTTGTTTGGGACAGCCCTGTGCCTACACTTGACCCGTGATGCGCACTGGAGTTGCCAAAGTTAGCCCGCATATAGCTGAGGACGTTGATTGTACAGAGTGATAATTATCTGTTTCTGCTGTCCGTGAAATATGTCTAACAACAAGGTAAGTTCACAGCAAGTTTGCATTGATTGTAATGTCATTTTAGTGATGGGTGGGCAGTTCAGTCATGAGACTCAGTGTGACGCGTCCGGGTCACATCTGGTTCGCAAACAGCCTGTATTACAACGGTGCGCATACCAGTCTGTTCAATTTTCCAAGCTCCACCAATCCTATTTCAATCGGATCCGCGTTGCTTCTGTGATCACCTTGTTCCATCGAGAGCAATGGGATTTATGGGCGGTACAAGGCAAAGAATTTCATGACTCATTGCTCGCAATATTCCTGCTACACTCGGTCAAACTTGGTGTCACGAAGTTGCTACAGGAACAAATGGAGTTATAATGTTAGGTGAAAGTTCTATATCGAAATCACAATCATCAGACTGCACAGTACTTTTTAAAATCAATGTTATACCGCCTTAACGCGATTTTTCAAGTTATGTATTTACTGGGTCAGATTTACAACGCAGAGCGTGTTGTAAAGTTATAAATCAAACTTATTTGACATGCATGAGTACGTTTTTATTTGAACGTTTTCATTTGGACGCCCTCTTGACCCACCATCCTTCTCATGGATTTTGAGAGTGGAAAACAAATAGCTGGTGGGCAAATACCGTCCTTGCTCATGCTGGGATCTGAACAGGCTTTACAACGGGCAAGTGTCATGGCCTTGGTCTATTGTGCGTTGTCCCGCTAACATGTACATGTACATGTATCAGTATAGCGGGCATTGCAAATCCCTCCCCACAAAGAGGCCTATCATAATTATGAAGTGGCGCATGGGATGGGAGTGGGTCAGTTGGGATGTATCGAATCTTTGCTGAGACGGGATCGATGCGAAGCCACGGGTTTGTGGAAGTTCTTTCTACGGGTTATAGTGTACGTCTATATCGCGTGAGCACTGTCTACCAACCGTCAGAGATTCGCTTTGAAAGCCACATAGTAACCCTCTCAGGCTAAACCGACACTCGTCACGTCATAAGGGTAATTCTGACATCCAGTCTATAGGTGAAATTCCCTTCTCAATTATGTTGCAGCAGTTGCCAACGCTCAAAGATGGCACTGGCTTTTCAGACATCTCCAAGAAAGGGGGAGAGGACGAGCCAGGTGAGATTCGAACCTCCTGTGGCTGGTTTTCCTGGCGTCCAAGCTGCCTACGCTGCTTCGCCAGCCCAAGATGGCTCCTGGCTACCATCTGTGCCTACGTGTTCTTCCAGAGCATGGCAGTCAACGGCTTGGTGGATGGTTCCCTGGCCAGCTTGCAGCGCCGATTCGAGTTGTCCAGTTTCCAGACCGGGCTTCTGCCGGCGCTCTACGACGTGGTGGCGGCCGTGTTGGGAGTTCTCCTGGCCTACGCCGGCAACAAGCGGAACAAAGCCCGCTTGTTGACCATGGGCACGATCTTCATAGGGATCGGCAACGTTGTCTACGCCCTGCCTCATTTCACGACGGGTTTGTACGCCTACAGCGACGATAACTCCACCGACACCTGCCGGTCAACCGGTGATGATCTCCCGACTGCCGCACCAGACGACAAGTCGACGATTGCTGCTCTCTCAGGTTACCTCGGAGTCTTCATTTTGTCTCAGGTCTTGTTTGGAATCGGTGGGACTATGGGGTACTCCATTGGTTTTGCTTTCGTCGACGAGAGTGTTACAAGCAAGATGGCAGGGATGTATCTTGGTATGTGAATTAAGTTATATAAAATCAGTAAACGTGTAAAACTTACAATGCAATTGATTGCAATGAGGTGCAGTCCTAAGGACTCTAACCGTCAAGATATCTGTGCTCACCAGGAGGCTATCGGCTCATCTGTGGCTCTTTTTATTCGTCAAGTGACATGTACTCTGTTGGTACTATGTTTTAGGTATACTGTCGGCATGCGCTACCCTGGGGCCTGCCTTAGGGTTAGTGATAGCTGGTGTGCTCCTGAGTCTCTACACAGACTTCCATGCTATCGAAGGCGGGTAAGATCTCCTTTTTGTTTGTTGGCTGGGGTTTGTTTTCGACTTCATTCGCAGAGTCATTCACATTAGCTGAAACGACAGTGACATGTTGTCCCATTATAAGCTGATGTATGTGTGCAAAAATAGTTATCACTGAGCGAGGCAAAAGCCAAGTAAAGGTTGTCCGTAGAGCTCTAGCTGCAGTCAAATCGTCACCTTTTTCGCGTAGAGCTGTGAAGATTTTGAAGAAACAATGGTTTTCGAGAAATTGCCTGAGAATCCTCTATTTCAAAACTGCAAAACTACCAATATGGAGCAAGTTTATGCAGTAAAACCCCCAAATGATTCTTCGAGAGGTAGCTTTTTGCCTGAACCAAGTCATTAAAATGAACACAGTGATTAACTACCCGAAATCAATACGGGCGATTCACAATAGTGCGCCTCCAAGAGTTTGCAACGCGTTGACCAATCACAAGGCGCGAAATCCGTCGACCCTTTCTAAACGCGCAATGGGTCAACAGATTTCGCGCACTGTGATTGGTCAACGCATTGCAAACTCTTGTAAACTTCTTTTTACTTCCAGTGAAAACAAAAATTTAGATCTTTTTTATTCTTGTTGTATTGTAAAGGAATATGCACAAAAACAAGTTGAGCTGACTACCAGTGAGTTAGTCCTTTAAAGCTAAGCTATATAGGGCACACTTGGTCCAAGACACCACCTATTCTTACGACAATACAACAGAAAAACAAAAGGTTTCCCTAGGTCAGTTGAGGAGGAGGAGTATTTTGGGTATGCTTAGGGACAACGCATCAAGTTTCCACAATAGGGCCTAGCACTGTTGAATTTCCTTTGGAGAATAATGGATCATGTTTACATGTTGCTTATGTACAACCCTTGCTTCGTTCTCCTCGTTAGCTTGACTATCGATCCGTCCAGCGAGCAATGGGTGGGTGCTTGGTGGCTGGGCTTCATTTTCACGGCCCTTACGTCCGTTATTATCGCTGTTCCCCTGAGCTGCTTCCCTCACGAACTACCTGGTAAGACCGACCAAAGGGTACAGACGTATAATAGTTCACTGTACCAATCAGTTTTATTCGGATACACACTGTACTGATTTATCCAACATAGACGGCATTTTGTGGTGACAGCCTATTTTTAGGCAGGAAAGGGTGTAATTTCCGTTTCCAAAAGGCCATGGACCAGGAAACTTAAAATTGTCCTTCGATCCTTGAACCTATTATTTTTATATAAACCTTGAACCTTGAACACTGACGTCGTTAGTTTGGTATCTAAATGAGGACCGTTTGCCAACAGACATTTTGATATCTTCGTCAGTCTTCGATGAATACCATCAGCATGTATATTATAGTCATTCTTTTTTAAATCCGGCCACGTGCTATTTTATTTTAGGGCAGAAATTTAAGTTTGGTTTTTAGTCTATAACCTTTCCCGTCTTATTCACGTTTGAAGCGGTCGTAAGCAGTCATTTGTTTTTAGCAAAGTGAACTTGGTTCGGCAAGGATTCAGAGGAAGTTACGCATTTTTAAGTTTGCTTTTATGATAATAATAACCATAACCATTACCGCTAATGGGTCTATAGGGAGACATTCCCATAAGAACGTGCACAACATTTGTCCAACTTTGCTGTCCCATGATTCAATATTCCCTAGTCTGATCTGAACCAAACTTTGTATGTTTTCATTTTAGGCCCTGAACTATCATCTCTCAAAATATGGACCGTGAAATTCGGCCCCCTTCTGGTAGTTTGAAAATAGGGAGACACTGAAATGTCTCCCTAGAAGCCAATGTCTCCCTAAAAGCAAATGTCTCCCTAATACTGAAAAATGTCTCCCAAATGATCTATTTGTAAATATATTGGTAATAATAATTATACAATAACAATACTATTAATACAAACATTAATTCAATTTATAAACAATCGAGTATAATCAAAATAAAAACGCCAGAGTATTAACAATGCCCAAACAACCCCATATGTATAAACGTTAAGAATAACTGTCTAAATACACTAAAAAAAAATACGAACAATCGTGATCCACTGCATAGATACGCAGACTATCCGGGAGCAGCGCGAATCTCAGGCACACGCCATGACGGACCGAGCCGGCAAGACGAGCCACGAGCACTTCGGCAAGTCGTGGCGGGATTTTCCCGCGGCGTTGAAGGTCATGCTGAAGAATCCCACCTTCATGGCCGTGGCGATCAGTCAGGCAGCGGACGGCCTCTTGCTGACTGGCGTTGGGACATTTTTACCGATCTACTTGGAAAATCAATACGGCTTGAGTTCCGGAACGGCAAATATTATTGTTGGTAAGTTGCGTGTGGAAAATGAGAGATGTTCAAATCACGTATCAAAATAAATCGTTCCCTGGTTCCGGATCTGTTAATCATTAAGTCTGAATTCTCCTCAACTAATCTGCAAATTCAAGTAAAATGAGATTAACTCTAATCACGGTCCTCAATCCTCCGATTTCAATATGATTTTACATACACCCTAGGGATTAAGGTTAATAGTCCCCTTTTTGTGAAGGAAACAGTACAAAAGTATTTTCCAAGTTTTAGCTTTAAATCTGCACCACCCAGGATCGTTCAAGGTGGAGATGCTACTTTCCTAGTTCTGAATTGATTTAAATTAACCAGTTGCATATTGGGTCGAAACTTTATCGCCCAAATCAAATTGAATCGGGATCAAATCAAAGTGGGATCAAATCAAATGATATCAAATCATGATGGGTACCAGTCTATTTCTTTTGATGACGCCAGGTGCTCAAGTTTGCACTGCCGGCTGTGGCTCGCTGTTTTTGGGTGGTTGGCTGCTCAAACGGTTTCGCCTCAAGGTCCGGGGTATGCTCAGGTTCATCATGATAGTCATTACCGCCAACGCCCTCAGTCTGCTGACAGTGTTCCTGACGTGTCCTGAGATCCCCTTGGCTGGTGTGTATCAGCACTACGCCAACGACAGGTAGGGTGCATAGGTGGACGACGCCATTTTGTTTCCAATGTGGGAATGCTCTGTGTATATCTGAAAATGGCAAAAGCCATATCAAAGTTGGAAAACTAAATTATGTCCCACACAAATACGCGTTCAGTTTGCGCATGGGATGTGCTCAGTTTTGCAAAAAAACCAAGAACCAAAATGGCTTATAATCTTTCTTGCTATTGTCCCAAATCTGTGCCCTTAACATAGAAGGACGCCCCCATGTGTTTGCAATCCGCTTATGGTTGGAAGAGAAGGGAAGAGAATTTTATAAACTATTGTACCTTCGATAACGAAAACCCTTGAATTTGAGTATTACTCTTGTGTTATGGTTAACAAGGAATTATATAACGTGCACTGATATTTCTCTCTAGCTGTGGTAATGAATTTCACGAAACTAAAGGCTGAATTGAAACAACAGTGACATATTTTGTGCACATGTGAAATACTGCACAGTGAACATACATCTAACCAGTAGTTACGTCAAGAAACTAGGCCACTGTATCATTATGAGAGGAACATTTTTTTTATTAGTTCTATATCGGTCGTGCATCTGGACGACCCGTGCAATGATGGATGCCAGTGCTCGACCACACCCTACTCACCTGTCTGCGGCAGCAATGACGTCATGTATTTCTCACCCTGTTTCGCTGGGTGTCAAGCTCAAGTCGTCGGTGTATGTATGCCAGTTATTCGTGTATTCTCTGTTCTTCGTTAATTGAGATTTGTGCCCCCATGAATTCCAGCAATGGGAGGAACCTTGTTGGAACACTGGTCGTAAATGGTGCAGGCTTTCTCTTCCTCATAATTATGCAATATCCAAATCATGATACCTGTCCATTGTACCTTCGGTAGCTGATTCCCCTAAGGTGACACACTTCGACGGTTTCCTCGAATCCCCCCCCCCCTGCAGTCCTGCTAAATCTCTGAGTTGAAAAACTGAAAATTCAGTGAATTAAGTATTGATACTTTCATCGCAGTAATACATGCTGTTGAACCTTTATGAACAATTTTAGTGTCATAAAATTTAGTCTGAAATTCAAAAACGGTGGCGTCCGGAAATTGGCTGCAACTTTAGGTGATTGTTCCTTTACATGGCGCACTTTAATAAATCTCAAAAAAAGCTAACATTCACATCTACGCATTTCTTTCAATTCGATAAATTCGGATAAATCATTATTCCACCCAAACACATACCCAAGTTTGTGAGATGGTGGTTTTTGGTTTTTTTAGTTTTTTTCTTCTTATTTTGGGGTACATCTTACCACTGGCAACTGGATATTTAACTTGGTCATTTCAAGCTTCGTCTCCGATTTGTAATTTTTGCGACAATGCACGGCAGGACAAAACGGTGTATACGGACTGCACCTGCGTATCGACCTACAACAATTCTTCAGATTCCACGGCGGTTCCGGGCAGATGTGGTACTTACTGCACTCGGATGTACATCTTGATAGGGTGTCTATTCATCATTACAGCCACGACGTTTTTGGACAGAGTCGCAGCAGTGAACGCAGTTTTAAGGTAGGTCCACCCCTCCGTCTAGCACAGTGGTTTTTTTTTAACCTCTATTTCGAATTAGGTATGTTGATAGCGCAAAAGATATTCATTATGACAGAAGGGATACGTGCACCCTAAACCAACTTTGACAGGAAATCAAAAAGTCAAGAATAATCTACATTTCTGCTGCACAGTATTGTTTTGTTTTTCTATTTCGCACAATTTGGTTAAGTTTTACCTCTTTCTACTGATTCACTTTTGTTCGACCGACTGCGCATCAAACACTCGTTACTCTTGGTGATGGACTTCGTGTCTACAAAATATAAAAGAGCCTGGTGCTATATGGCTAGGCCTATCAATGTGGTAAACGCTAATTCGCATCAGAAACTGCTGTCTTTCCTAAAGATGCATTCCAGACGGGCAGCAGTCGTTCGGACTCGGCATGTACGGATTCATCTCGAGACTTTTCGGTAAGCCTTGTTGACAGTGGCTTGTTCTGCTGTTTAATTTCGGGGCCAGGGGGCAACTTCAAAAGCGATGCGGCTTTAGGCTCGTTCAATATGATGTTGGGGGAGAAAAAATATCAAAAGCCTTACTCAAGGTCCCGACATGTTTGCTTTTATTTCGTGGTGTATTAGTGCTAATATTTTATAAATAAGTGTACCAGTTATTTTTTCCTAATCAACTATTATGAAGTATTATTTGTAAAAAAAAGAGAATTCGAAAAACAGATTTTCAGATCTTCAAATACAAATGACGTTATCATAACCGTTGACTGGATATACTCTGAGTGTCGGGATATCATGTGCCAGCGAGTCAGAATGGATTTTTGGAGTGACCGCTTTCTCGTTTGTTCTACCCTAGAGGGTTTTTTTTATCATAGGACACATGTACAACCCAAAAAGATAGGCCTACTTAAAATCAAACGAGGTGTACATGTCCCCACAATTGGCACTGAACAGCGTGATAAAAATCAGCATGCTCTGCGCTTCTGAAGACGGAAGTTCTCCGAGAAGCTGGAACACAAAACCAGGAAATATGGTCCTTAAAAATGTGATCACCATTTACGAGGAGAGTAACTCCGTGTTAAGAACTTTGACACATATATATCTCATGCACCTCGGCCCAAGCTCTTGAAATTACGGTATGAATCTTCACAGGTTCCCTGCCCGGGCCCATCATCTTTGGTAGTATCATCGATGCCACTTGCACCCTGTGGCACGAGGAGGGAGGCAGACGGGGCCAGTGTTGGTTTCACAACCGTTCGGACCTGTCGCTTTACCTGGTCTTGTTCGCCCTGGCGCTGAAAACCACGGCGTTCATCAGCACCTTTGTGGGCTATAAGTTATACCGACCGCCCGAGAGTGACGAGGAGCCCCAGACGGAGGGGGAATGTTTAGACTAGTAGTAGTCGAAGTGTAGTTTTTGCAATTCTTATAACGTAGAGTATGCTAGAGATTAGCTTTTCAGTTGAGCATATCTTTATATGATGAGGGATTAGAAGAACTGAATCACTTTGAATATTCGGCCTTCCTTGGGTTTATAATACATCCTTGTGACCTTTCATACAGTCTCAAAATAAAAGTTGCGATTTGAAAATGAGATTTTGAAAAGTGTTTAAAGAGAAAGGTTTAAATAGAATAATCTTGATCGTGAAGGCATTCTTTTTCATTATGTAATACAAATAGGAAAAAGATTGTTTTCATGGTTAAAAGCACATTGTAGAATTTATTTTATTTACGTAATCTGCCTAAGCAGAATGTTTCATAGACGGATACTCCTTTTGGTTTTGTCTTTTAACAAAACATAGTTTTAGATATACTGCTATTTTATTACCAAAAAGTATTGTAGAGGAAGGTTTGACACTCTACCCCTGATGTCTGTGGGTTGACACTAAAAATGGTTGTGGTCTATTGTTTTAAATGAAGAAGATCCGCAAAATGTAAGGATTGAAGCAAGAAATGGAAACCCTGGTCTTAAGAATTGAAACTGCCGAGGATTTCAGACCCAGTCGATCAAGAGGCAAGTCGCAAATCCCATCACAGATAGGGTCGCAGATCAAGTCGCCAACAATGCAAGATTAATGAGGATTCAAAAGATGGGGCATAAGCCTAAGAACGTTTTTCATCATCCGAGTGATAAACTTAGCGTGATCTGTGATTGCTTGTGACTGAATTGCAATAACTTGGTTAGATTGTTCGAGATGATGGGATTGATCAACTAAGGGATTTGGTAATATGGCAAGGTGTGGTCGTCAAAGAGGAAAACGAACAAGACGGTTAATTTACTGTTCAAACCTTCACAGACAGAACGATCCTCATCAATCAATGGAATTTCAATGCATCTACTTAAGGCATATACATTTATATAATTTTTGTAAATTTAAAATGTACGAGTTGGCCGAATAGTCTAATCTCGTTGAGAAAAATATATGGATTTATAATTGATAATCAAGCCTGCCTAATTCAGAACATTGAGACAAAAACAGTTGTGTGCTACCTCCCTGAAGAAACAACCACCCTTTGTTGTTGAAACATTGTAGTGGAAAATATGACATTGACCGGTATCCCGAGCAAGTTTAGTGATGAACTCAATGCTGAAATAATATATGCACGTAGAAGTGGAAACGCAACGAAGCGCAACTCATCAAAATTAATACACAAACGAAGTAAATAAAATGAGTGAGTGCACATCGAAAATGTTGTTTAAAATTGTACTAAAAGCGAAAATGAATGTTTAGGCCTAAACAATTCGAATCGTATTCAGATTTTATGAAGGAGTCCATACATGTAACTGTATAAGGCACTTCGGTAGTACATCCGTTCATTTTGGGCGCGGGGCGCATTAAATTGAATATTTAAATGAAACTAAAAAAATAAGAATACTCTTGACTGTAAGAAATTCTGACTTCATTCCAAATGCACGCTCATACCCAAATACCCAACAAATTTATCGCTAAAACAAATTACATATTAGTACAAAATACTAGCTGGAACCGAAAGCATAGCGCTCTTGGCTTCGCCTGGGGGCGCTATGCGTCGTATCCCACATCACAGCAGTCAACAATTGTCAACTGTAGATGGATGCTATAACAAGTTTCAGGGTTTTGATTCAATGGTATGCATGTGGTCTTGGAGGTATCAGTCTGTTGGACAGTTAGCATACGTCACTCGATGGGTGCCCCTGAATCTACAGAGATGATTCTGGGCCATACNCTGGCCCAAACAGACCCCTCTTTTCGAAACAATCTCTGGGGGTACTTTTTCTGCGCCTCGGCCTGGCGGAGAATTTCCTTGAATTGGGACCCTGCACCCATATACATGAATACTGAAGAGAGGCCGATATGCGCTACGCTGCAGCCCTGCCCAACGTCTACTTCGGTAACTATGGCTACAACCACCATGGTGGGTTCAGGCCCCAGCTCTCGCTTCAGATCACGTGCCTGGTGATGTAATGCCTAACGCTTTAAATTAGATCTTACGTAGCTTTCAATCAAAAGGTGAATATATAAAGTCAGCGAAGTGATCGGACTGGCCCCAGGACGCGTACGGTTGATCAACAACCAGCGCGTTCAGCAAATGGATGAGACGTAGATTAGGTGCTTGTGGGGTTTGTTTGTCCATTAGAGAACTTCCATTACTGTGTATCTATACTACTTTCAAGCTCATAAATCTTTATAAATCAAGGTTATAAAACTGATAGAATTGCAGATGATGATTGATGACCGTCCATGAAAACTGACGACTGTATCAAGACACTAATTAGGCGCATACTGGCAGATTGACCTGAATCATTCCTGTCACACTTGGGACACTTTGGTGAGCAGTTCGTGCATCTGTCAAGGCACACTTCGACCTTAGTATTCAGGGCTTGGCGTAGTTTGACGCCAGAGCGTACGACAGATTGGAATTGGAGCCGGAGTTTACAATACAAGAGCGGGTTGCTCGCTGCGCGACCGACCGACTGACCGACCATCTACAATGGCCCTGGCCTCGCCGAGAATCGCTTGCCCAACCCAACTAGCCGTGTTGGCTGTGCTTTTTCGGGTTATGAGCAACGGTAAGGTTATATGTTCCGTCTCTGCAACTGTAACATTGAAAAGTCAAGTTCAGTTGGGGGAATATTCAATAAAATAGCCTTGTTTAGTACAAAGGCAAAACAGCGGATTCCGCTGTTCCAATAATGTTTTCTAATCGTCAACATTCTAACCCTACTATGGAGACTATTCCACCATTTTTCGAAAAGAAAAAAAACTGTCTCTTCGTTCTCACTCAGTTTCTGCTATCGCAACAGAATTCATTTTTCTCCTCTATCTTGTCAGGTGATTAAACACCGCATTGCACTGAATGAAGTAATACAGATTTTCCATATCCTAGTCGATTTTTTTTATCTCTTCAAAATGTGTATGTCCAATTCGTTGTAGGTTTCGTTTGGGCGCAGTCGACTTCGTCACACTCACCACAGCCAGGTAAATGCAGTTGACAACCTATAGTCACTGGTCCCCTAAAGAAAAGAGACTGCCACTGCTAGTATTTTACAGACAATATATGAACCTTTTCGTAAGTTATGGCTGGAGTCAGTAACATATAGCTCCTACAATTTCTGCAGTGTTGGTCTCATTCTTTAAGAATCATATGGCGTAAACTCTATTAATAGTTGACGACAGCATTTTGTTTCTGAATCTTTAATCTCCCTTACCTACCATCCAAGTTGAACTTATTTGTTTTCAAAGTGGGGTGTGTTATTCACGAACTGTTGTCCATCATTTTTACTGCAATTCAGATTTGAACATGTGCAACAACTTTCCTTGTGAGAATGGCGGGGCTTGCAATGGAAACAGTGACAGCTATACCTGCACCTGCCAACCAGCATTTACTGGAGACCGTTGCGAAACACGTAAAAGGCTTATTCCACTTTAGTGTTTTGTTATTGACTTTGTAAATCCATCGATAAGTTATATTGTGACAAGCATGCCTTCTACTTATTGATATTGGGGATATTGAGTTATGGTCCCATTTTTTAATGGAAAATCATTATTTCAATTTTGTGACGTCACCCCCAGTGGCGTAGAAGACAAACAATGCTGGATGTACATGTATATGTGTATGCATATGGTTGTTCAGGGTCCACTTTTGTTGCCAGATGGCATTTTTTCAATTGTTTAATTAAGATGGTGTCTTTTTATGTTCTCGTTGAGTCTGAAAACATCTTCTGCTGTTGCTCCTTCCGATCTTCACCTTATCCAGTCGATAAGGCTCCCCCAGAATTCCTCAACTGTCCACAAAACATCGATGCAACAATCCCGAGAGGATCAGTCCTTGTCTGGGTGAACTGGTCCCCGCTTAAAGCAGTGGACGATTCAGGAGTTTGTCTGACTCCGGAGCTTCTGTTCCAAAACCAAAATCAATTTACCTGAGGGGGGGATATGTCATAGAGTAGACTCACTGTGGCTGTAGACTCACTCGATAATAGTGCGTGATGCAGGTTCACAGTCTATGTAACACCGGCGGGTATAAGTTGACCACTGCATTTATGTTGATCTACTTCCAACTAACCGTTTGTGGGAAAAATAAACGCAGACTGTATTCTTAGGTGAAACGAAATGATGTCATTTTTATGTACTCAAAATGGCATCACTCTGCAGTGTGCACGACTTGTTAAGGGCTTTAATTCCGATGGTTTATGAGAAAGAACATTACAGTGCGGAAGCTCTGTTAAGACTGTCTAACCACTTGAGTGCAGTTACAAGGGAACATTCTATTCCCTAACCGAAGTATTCCACTGTTTCCCAGTGTTAGACGCTTGCTTTTCGCGACCATGCTTAAATGGCGGAACCTGTCAAGCGGAGGGAAGTGAATACCACTGCGTATGCAGAATCGGTTTCAGCGGGTCAACTTGTCAGCAAGGCAAGTAGGGCGGACTGATTCAAAACAGAATCTTCTGTAAAGCCGAGAAAAGCCTAGCATTTGTTCAAGAGATTGCTTCGTGCAAGACCTTATACACCGACGCCTGAATGTAGCCCAACACGTGCTTAAATCTAAGACAGGCTACATGATATACAGTTAGTGCACGTGTTACCTTTGGGTACAAGGTTGTGGCTCCATTTATGTCTCCTGCTAATTTAGATGTGGTGCGAGTTTTGCACACGTTTCTGCATTTCTCCAGACTTCCACTTCTAGTTGAACATTAAAAGTCGGTTAAACTCCAAAATCATTTCACTTCAGTGATATGCCAGACTCCATTTATATTTCATGAAAGATTGTTCATCCTCTTGTTTTTTCTTTTCTCCACAAGTAGACCCGTGTTCCAGCAGTCCTTGTATGAATGGTGGTACGTGTGTTGGAAACAGCATTAGCTATGACTGCGCATGCCCGGCTGGATTTACTGGAGTTAACTGTCAGTCAAGAGGTAATGCTTAAGTAAAATTTTCTGCTCTCGTAGTTAAGATTCAACTCCTTTGCCAAGTTCTCTCTCTGTTACATTCAAGCATTGAAAATCGACTAGGTTTTTCAAATACAAATCCTTTTTTTTCATCTTCATCTCCCGTATCTACCGTCCAAGTTTATCTTTCTGCTTTCATTTCAAGGTGCGTTATTCTAGTCGCCATTCACATTTCAAGAACTATTCTTCATCTTTTTGTCTATCATGCAGAGTTGAACGTGTGCATGAGCTCTCCTTGCAAGAATGGTGGAACATGCCATCAGGGAACCAGTGTTCGCTATAACTGCACATGCCCGCCAGAATTCACTGGAGAAAACTGTCAACAGCCAATACGTAATGCTCTAAATTACGGTTTTGACTTCACGTGCATCGCTAGACCATTTTGAATGGGGGGTGTACGTCCCATGAATTAACCGACCGACCGTCACGCAAAATGAGCGTACTGTACTCCCCTTCCTTTCATCTCCATTTTCCGTCCTTCTTTGTTTTTATATTTTGCTGACAGACCATGATTTGGTCGACAAAACTAACCAATGGACGTTGTGACACCATCAGACACCCCCTCTAGCGACGCTCGTGCACGGTTTCGTATAGTTGTAAATGATACTACTTGCAAAATTATTCTGTGTCAAAGTCGAGGTTTCATTTTAGTTAGATGCTTTGTTTCAGAACCTTTTTACTTCATTTCTCTCTCCAGCTTCACTTTTCAAAAGTTGTCCGAGGGACATAGCTGTGAACCTGCCGGTGGGAGAGACGCATGCCTACATTTTATGGGAGGTGCCCCTTGTGAAATCCGATTACGAATACGTACTGGTGTCATCTAATTACGAGCCAGGAAGTTCATTCTCGATTGGGCGACACAGGGTTATTTATAGGTGCATTGGCCATTGCTCGACCGAGGATGGACATGCGGTGAAGTGGGAATGTGCCTTCAATGTCAATGTTGCTGAAATTCCAGGTGCGATTTTCCTCTTTGAATGTGTTTAATTTACTTTCTCACCACAAACCGACAGGTGCCGGTCCGTATTTAAACTTTGGGTTTCCATTTTTTTTTAACACTTAGAAGCAACCTGAATTCCACACACGCCGCATCTTCCAACCGACAATGTCATCCCTGGCAAACATGTCAAAGAGTCGATGTGTACTAACTCTTGAAAATAGCAATGCAGTAATGTAATTTCAGCTATAAGTCAATAAAATTCATTCAGTTGAGGGCACTTTTCAATCAACTTACCCCCCCCCCAAACAAAAATACTGGGATACCCCTCGTTATACTTTGTCAATTTCAGGTATAGAGGATGTAGGCCTACTCTTGAAAAGCATGCCTTTGCTCAGCTGTACCGTCGTGCGACAAATGCATCACCGTAGCGCTTTTGTGGCATCTTGCATTTTTGACCAACAGGTTCCGTCATTAAGTACTGTCCAAAAGATATCCAGGTGGACCTACCCTATGGTCAGCACGAGGCCTTTGTCACGTGGGCCCAGCCGCAGGTGTTTGGTGGCGGCATTCACGTGGTCAGAGTTGTCCTCGCCGCTGTGAACCGAGAGACGAGTCCATGGGTTCGGTTCTCCGTGGGTAACCACACGTTAATCTATCAGTTACAGCAGGGCACCAGTGAATGGGAGGAATCGTGCTCATTCAACATTGAAGTCACAGACAATGGAGGTAACAGAAGATTAGGTGTACACAACCACACCGAAAACATGTCCCATTGTCAGTGGTATTTGATCCCTTAAATTTGATTAATGTTAAACCTCTGAGATAAAACCTAACACCAAAATTAAAGTACCACTAAGATGCATCACGTTCAAGAGGCGTTTTAATTGTGGAATATTGTGAAATCTAACTGAGTCATTTTTGGCAACCTTTGGGTCAGTTCATACAGGTGGAACCATCCAATGCGACACCTACACAACGACTTTAGTTCTCGGTGCAGCAATGTTCGTCGTCAGTGTTGCGTGCATTTGCCTCTGCTTTTGCTTTATAAGGTACAATTATAAGAAAATTGCGACAATTTCAAGAGTAACAATGCACTTACTCTCGTATGTCGTGGAGGTCTGGGGTCAATCTTCACTCTTTACTGATTTTTCATTTTCAAGGACAAGGCGTCAGCTTTCTTCAAGGGGGTCATCGCGTGCCATGGTCCCCTTGGATGCCATCTCGTCGAATTCTAAGACGATCAACAACGGCAGCAGTTTTAGCGACCCCATTAACCGACCGAGATACCAGTACCAGACCGACCCGAAGCAGCTACCGCCGGTACCTCCTCCCAAACCCGGCCTGCCGCTGGAAGATAACGCCTACGAAGCCCTGGACAACTACGGCTACCTGAGCTTGGAGCCTAAGATGCAAAATACGGGGATGTGTCAGCTGCCAAGAGCCGTTTATCAGAAACCCAAAGGAATCAACGAGTATTAGCCCTGTCATACAGGAATAGTTTGGAATGATGTAGCCTGTGTTTGGAGAATTCTATTCTTAAGCTTTTAAGATGTGATAAGGATAACCGACACTGCGCAGCATTCCTACCAAATCCTAACGAGGAAAATAAAGCTTAGTTTGATTAGGAAAGTGAAATTTTCCCCAATGGGTTTTGGGACCGACTCTATTAAGTCGGCTTAGGTAGTATACTTTCCGTCTTCGTTTTTGTCCACTGATATGGTACAAGAAATAAGTAGAAATTCGATATATGGATATCTCGTCAATGAATGTGTCAATTTTTCAGGTGTTCATATTGTTTTATTGTATTGTTTGAAATTGTCTTAGATGTAAATAAGCGTACTGTAAAAAAACATTTAAGAATGAGTTTCAGCAAGTTTCACACTCATATGTACATAATATTCAATTTTATTGATGTGAAATAAACGAACAAATGAATTGCATAATTATGGTGAATTGTAAGCCAAACATCCTAGCTCACAAAACTAAAATAGGTTACATGTGTATTATACTTTCATTATGTGTTTTCACTACATTAAATCAAATCCGAAATTTCTCTGTAATCCTTTTGATAGCATGGGATTTTGTACACAACTGAAACTCTTACATTGGCTTAACACTTTGATATTTTTGCGATATTATAGCTTTGGCATATAGGACAGATGTTTGATAGTACCAACCCAAAGATTAGCCCCGTTTGGGATATTCAGAAATTGTTGCCTTGCACTTCATTTAGAATTGCTTAAACTGTTATGTCACACGTGTCCTTTTTTCAGTTGTTAGGCCAAAAATGTCTCTGGTTTCTGGTCAGGAACTGGCCTCAAAAGAGGTGCGGCCACGTGGCTTTTTTACCCTCACTTTCTTTTCTGGAAATGATGTACGATAACGCACAATGTCCATCTCGACTACATGCGCTCGTAACGCGTACGCCTGCCGCTACGAACACTAAAATAGACTGGCCCTCGCATGTATTTTTACTGTTTAAACGTATTTTCAGCTTACAAATGTACACAGGACATAAGACCACCTCGTTTGTCTGGTTCCCAGATGTAAATGTATAACACAGAAATGACGTCATCTAAAAAGAATGCCGGACTTGTATGGGGAACTACAAGGACTCCTTTATTGTACATATTACTCAAACCGCACCCCCATCAAAAACACGATAAATTCACGCAGTAGCAAGATTCCAGTCGATTGAGCAAGTTTGACAGCTTTTGGACATCGTTTTCTACCAAATAAAAGACTTTTTTTTAATTTGCCGATGCGCAGGTCTACGGCGACGCACGCGCTGACCAGAAACCGGACCCTTTTTTTGGCTTAACCTTAAAATTTCAAAATTCATTGTTTTACAATTTCTAACTAACGATTGTCTTTCGATACGGTAAGAAAGCCTTTCTGCATCCGAGAAAGATCGGTAATCGAAGAAAATCAATAAATCCTGAATAATTATACCCTCCAATTCTCAATCTGACGAATTTAACAATCCGTTCAATTTTATTCTGAGCAATTTCAAAGAAAGAGATACGACCGGTTATAAAACTTGCCAGCACTCTTCCTAGGGTGTTCCGGGAAAAGTGCTCAATCTCGCTTGCCCGCAAGTATTTCAGGAAAATACTCTGTCTACAAAAGCCTAGAAAAACTCTCAAAAAAAAGCCGAAACCAAAGGCAAATGAGCTTTTTCGGTATCTCCACACGAGGTGAAACAAGTTAATAGGCTTATCAATTCGCCATTTTCTAAATTCACGTAATTGGGAGTTTACCATACGCCGTGCTCAACCGTCCCACGCGCGCGATCGCCGTTCTACCAGTCATTATCACGAACCTATTTACTGTCAAGTGAAGCAAAAATTGTGGGCTGAACCATATACGAAATAAACATCGGCACGGTCATTTCAATTTCCGCCCCGTCCTTGATGGCAATTATTCTGCATCAGTAAGTGCCTACTTGGACATTAAGGGCCATTAGCCTCTGTATACATTCGCAGGATAAAGCCTGTTATTGAGGAAGATTATTATAGACCCTATATGTAAACATGTATGACTAACGCAATCAAGCGATTTTTTCATCAAAATTACTTCAATGGAAACAAAATTCATCAGGTTCAGTTGTTAGAATGGTCGAGGGGTTGAACAACAAACCCTCGAAATACGTGTATTTCACTTCGGGGCTGGTCATTTTGAGTCACTGTACAACAGTTTTTTTCTTGATATTATTTCTTGAGTTGGACTTCAGGGACCGTGATGAAGAAGGTCCTCGGCACCGGCACCGGCCTACAACACCGTTTGGTAGCAGAAGCTAGTCAATCTAGCTAGTTCAACACTGCTACGTCCCTGTTTTGTTGATTGAACGTCCGTGCACTGCTTTGATCTGTTTTAATTGAAGCAGACGCCTCTTTTCCTGCCTCTGTGGAGATTTTTTTTGCTTCCTTGTCAATACAGGCGATTCACAATAGTGCGCCACCAAGAGCTTGCAACGCGTTGGCCAATCCCATGCACAAAATCTGTCGACCCTTTCCAAACGCGCGTTTGGTCGACAGATTTTGTGCACTGTCATTGGCCAACGCGTTGCAAACTCTTGGTGGCGCACTATTGTGAAACAGCCGTATTTATCTATACATCACACCAAGAATATTAGCTCAGTCGCTGATTATTTCTCGCATGTCTTTTAGGTTTTAGTTCATTATGGGAAGACAGTTATGAGAGTAGAATTTACATCGTCAGTCATTGAGACCGACAAGAGGACTGGATAATGGGTCGTAATTTAGGCTGACATTGTGCTGTCTCTTACTGTTTGTTAAGCACTTGGCTGGTTCCATGAGAGGCGATGATGAGAAAAGTGAAAGTCTATCAGCTAAACAATGTTGACATTAATTGCGGACGTGACGTATCGATCAGTTAACCAAAGCTGAGCGAGTGTCATCAGCACCGACCCACAACCCGCGTGGATGCTGCGATTTCATTTTAGGCCCGCGTATCTTCCTGATGCAGCTGCTGAACAGCCACGGGAAATTTCAATCGCTGTTTCCACGGCCTGCAGCAAACCTAGCCTACGAATTGGGGAAATTGACAGGAATCGTACAGCAAGGGGATTCGCCTGTTCAGCTTTCGATTGATCCAATTAAGGTTCACTATTTTGCAAAAAATGGGGAGAAAATCTGAGGATTTGATTAAAAAGCATAATGTCTTCTGGCTGTTTGTTTCATCGGGGAAAAAGAAGTACGTGCAATGGTGTTGAAGATGGTTGCAGGTCTCAAGCTGAAATATTGGAATAAAAATGTCCTCGAAAATGAATATACACGCCCCTTGTCATGTGACTTAAATAATTTCCAAAAAGGAAAAAGTATACAGTTTTGTGGCTGTAACGTTTCTGATTTGAACTTCACGGGAGAAAATTGAAAGCTTGGACAGGATAAAAAGTGGAAGTGCCAAGGTCTCGAAAACAATCTGCACGTTAGATAAATTTAGGCACATATCCATCATTCGAGGCATTTTATTTAGAGAAACTAATGGTCTGTCACCATTTGACAGACCATTCAAGTATGATTTGATGAGATATGAATGTAAAACGGCCAGTATTTCTTTGTAAAAAGTAGCTCCTTGGCAGAATAATAAATATTTTCCATACGAAACTAATTGTAAGAATGTTCAATGACTGCTACTCACTATTTCTCGAAAATTAATAGAATTTATTAATTGTCCATTATTACATAACTTTTCTTACGCTAATAGGTAGAAGTCGTAATGGGCAAATGGTACTTAAACTCGTAATATTTGGCCCTGTCTTTCGTCTATTAGCCGAAAGTCAGTGGTTACAGTGAAGCTTCGACGCTTGTAGCAAAAACTTGGTTCAATTTTGGCAGCGAAATTATTGTGGGAAATTTGGAGCAAAAGAGGGCAGCAGACACAACCAAAAACTTTACAAGTTTGAGGCACAAGAGGGCGGCACACTACCAACAGGCTAAGTAATGCTTTGTCGCGTTGAACGCGACGTTCAAGTTCGTCAACTTTCGTTGTTAATGCCAACGGTCTGGAAGTGTGCGTGAAAGTACTTTTGAAATTTCTGTAGAGGTGCAGATTTTAGCTTTGGCATTTATGAGTTCAAGTTAATAGAGTGGACGTGACGTGACGTGGGAAATGCACTCGTTACAGTGGCATTGCTACCAACAAAATTAACACTCCCAACCATGGAGGTAGAATTACGCAGCTCTTTCCAACGGATGAGGGGACATCTTTGCTCGAGGCCGACCATCCCAACTATATAGTTAGAACCGATGCTGTGGAAGATGTTTAACATTATCAATTTGTCCTGGATCAGTGTTGGGCACACGCATTCAGTCAGTCAGCATGATCGCATCGTCAATCCTTTTTGAAATCCTACTTTACCTCCCTTTTTCAAAACAGTCTCCCCGACCAAGAAGTAGAAAAGGCAATGAGCTGATGGCAAGTCATTGTAATGAGATTGACAGATCTTCAGACCGACTGATTGCACCCAACATCGATACCTTAGGGATCAAATCTTCATGCGCCTCTCCAAGAACCTATTTTTAAATTTTCACCTGTCCTCTTGCTTGTATTGGTACCAGGTTCGAGTCCCCCCAAGGACAACTCTCAAGCATGGACAAGGACACTTTCACTTGTGGTGCTTGCAAGACAAGTTTTTCTGATCTGGAAGAGTTTCTGAACCACAAGAATACTCCATGCAATGTGAGGAGCTACTTTGCTTTTCTTCTTATTTTTTAAAGTATTTCTGCTAAACGCAAATAGTAACTAATTTACTTTAACGGCTCCTCCAAAAATGAAAATTTATTCCTCCTGGCAAACATGACAATTGGAATCATGTCTTTAACATATAACTCAATTTGTTACTTTCATCTAGTGAATGTAATAAATATTGATTGGTGATCCATAATAAAAGTATAGGACCGCAGAAAAAGAATGTTCAAGCTTTGTCATATTGTCAGTATTTTGAAGTATTTTCAGTGAGTTTGTCACTTTTAAACTGAAATACATACATGCATTCACCTTTTTTGCAGAAAGTCACAGAGGGATCCCACCTGGCTGTATTGGGCAGTGCAGTCAGTTGGGTCTCTGGGAACCAGATTGCCACAGCAGATGAGAATGGCATCATTGAAGGGTCCGAGGCAAGAGCAGTCATCACTCCCGCGGCAGCGTTGGATGAGACAGAGGCTTGGTTAAAAGCAGGTGAGTCTCCAACAGGTGACAGGGTTTTCTTTCGTGAAACCATTCTTTTGGAGAATTTACAATGTTATGATTCTAGAAGGAGAGATGGTCAGTTTCCGATGTAAATAGCATTCATGGGCATGGAGAGTGTCCACATGGGATCTTTCCACAGTTGGGTCAACAGAGAGGCTGCACTGGCAAGCTTCAGCTCATGTACTTAATTGAATTATTTCACAACAGCTCAGCATTATAATACCAGAAGTCTTTGTATCGCAAGTGCGGCCTCACTTTCATGCATAGAGTTAATGGGAACACTTTGCACCCTTGGGCGTTCAAGGGACTCCTTTGCCATTGGGACTGACGTCACTACAGCTGTTGTCACCAGATATCTCCTTAGGCAAGAAATGGCCTGGGCTGAAAGGAGGGATTTTCATACATGTTAGCTGTTAATTGGACAAAACTCAAACATTACTTACCAGCTCATTAGTCAAAATAGAAAAATTAATGATCTGATCCAGAAAATTTCATATATGCCGGAAACTGTTTTCAAGAATAGATGACCTACTTTTGAAGTTTCAAGATTAAATACATACCTATTTTCCATTATTTGCTCATTTTCTTCATGAATTTTCTGCAGCTTTACCTGAGCCTGAGTCAGTTCTTGGCACCATTTTCCTCTGCAAGGATTGTAATGTGTACTCAACCTGCTTAAAAGATCTTAGGAAACACCGACTGGAATTGCACAATCCGTCTTTGGCGTCAGAAGATGACGTTGTACGAGCGGCTCCCATCAATCCCTTGGGCTGTACTGTGACACGGAATAATGGCATAGTGCCGGTCGTTAAGAGGAAAAGGGGCAGACCAAGAAAATATCCCCCTGCCAAGGTTGATTTTCCCTTTACCAAGACAGGACAATTGGTAGTAGAAGGTTCGGAGGTAACTGTCATGACCACTGCCGTTGAGGGCGAGAAATCAAAAGAGGTTGAAGGAGAAGGGGTTAGGCGTCCGAAGAGAGGACGACCGAGAAAGACGGAGGCTGAGAAGGAACAGGCAAAGCAGAAACTCCTTGAGATGAGACAGAAGCAAGCCGCAGAGGAGGAGAGTCTGACAGCAGAGGAAAAGATATGTCGGACTTGTGGGAGGGAGTTTGCTAGGGTGCGTCAGCTCAGGAGCCATCGCTGCCAGGGAGGCGATCCCGACCGCAGAAGTGATACGGAGAGCGACGATGAAGATTCGGCCCAGCAGAATGCCGAGATGGATGGCCGCAGCAGCAGAGCCTCTGATCCCGAACCCCTCACTTTTAACCTTGTCGCCACGCCTGACCAGCTGGATTCTACCGAATGCGCGATCCCGCAGACCCTCAACGACAACGCCCTGCCAGACCTGCGAGTCAGCAAGCAAGACCCCCTAAAGGTTTACACCTGCCCCATCTGCAGGAGGTTATACAAGACCAAACCTAGCCTCCAGGTGCACCTGTCAACCCACACCAAAGAGAAACCCTTTAGTTGTAACCAGTGTAGCTACAGGAGCTCTGTGAAAGGCAACCTGAAGATCCACATGAGGAAGCACACCAACGAACGGCTGCACTGCGACATCTGTAATTACAGTTGCATCAGCAAGGGTAACTTGAAGAAACATAAGATGAGACATGGGCCCAAGAGGACTCCCATTTATTGCAATCTCTGCAAACGTCGGGCCTACACCCCCTCTTACTTGCTGCACCACCTGGAGGCCGAGCATGACATCCAATCAGATCCCAGAGCCAAGCGCTACTACGAGGAGCAGAAGCTCAAGTGTCGAGTTGGACAACGGAATCTTCTTTATCAGTGCCACGTCTGCGATCGCAAGTTCAAAGACAGGCGAAGTCACGACGCGCACGTGCTCCTGCATCGACCCAACAAACCTTTCAAATGTGCGCTGTGTCCTTACGCTGCCATCAGATACGACGCCATCGAGCTACATGCAAAGAGACACTGGTTTATTTATGTCTGCCATTTGTGTCACACCAAAGTCTTGAGCACAGAGCTTCTTAAAACCCACTTGAGTGCACACAGTCAACCTCCTGACCTGAACACTGAAGACTTACTCAAACAGAGTATCTTGAGTAGCATGTATCAGTGCGATCCTATTGAGAAAGAACTCATGAATGAGCTGATTAGAAAGAATGGACTGAGTTTAGAAAGGAAAGAAAAGAGGACTCAAGACAGATCAGAAGATTGTCGAGGTGAAAAGAACGGAGACTTAGGGAAACATGATGTGGAAAATGAAACGGAATATCTACAAATTCTGAGCACACCGGCTGTCGAGCAGTCAGAATTGCTGGAAATTAACAAAGCTTTTGCAAAACTGAACTTCAAAAGATTGAGCCCAGATATTTTGAGGGAGATTCGGATGTTGTATGGTGAAAACGAGTGCCCCATCTGCGGTAAACTGTTTCGCTATCGACCTCAGTTAGAGGTCCATCGGAAGACTCACAGTAAGGACAAAGAGTTCCAGTGCAATCTTTGCCCGTATTCGTCCCACACCAAGCAAGGATTGCAGAGGCATGTGGATACAGTTCACGTGGGGACCAGGTTGAAGTGTCCGATGTGCAATTTTGAGACCACAAGCAGTACTTACCTGCTGATGCACAGGAAGAAACAGCACCTGGACTTAGCGATGTTCAAGTGCTCCCAGTGTGACATGACCACCGCTAGCGAGAGGGAAATGAAAGACCACATCGCCGCCCGTCATCCCGAGCTGCCGCAGTCAGAGCTGGAGAGGATCATGGGCAAGCATATCCACATCCGGAGTAGGTTGGGCACGGTGGCCAGCCACGCCTGCAAGCACTGCGGTGAGGTCTTCCGACGGGTCTGCGACCTGCGCCGCCACCTCTGGCTCCACGAGGGCACCAACCCCTACAAGTGCCGCCTCTGCAGGTTCCAGGCCCGCACCCTGCAGAACCTCCAGTCCCACATGCTACGCCACTCGGACAGCCGCACACACCTCTGCCACCACTGCGGCAAGATGTTCAAGATGAAGAGCGCCCTCAAGGCACACTGCACCTCCCAGCACCCAGTGGAGAGGCTGCTGAATTGCACCGACTGCAACTTCACGACCGGCGCGGAGGCCGACTTGGAGCACCACAGGAGAGCTCACCATGCCGGCCCGTCGGTCCGGACGTTCCGTTGCTTCCATTGCACGCAGTACTCCAGCAGCAAGGAGGAGCTGAGGGAGCACTACCGCCAAGAGCATCCGGACGCCATCTTCGATGAGGGTCTGGCCTACGAAGTCCCCGAGGAGAGAATCACAACGCTCAACATCAGCATTCACCAAACAGACGGTGTCTTGCAGTACAAGTGCAGCCAGTGCGATGTCCTCCTCATCAACAACGGTGAGCTGGGACAGCACCTACGCGATGTCCACGGTCTTGCCATCACCACGGTCGCCGAGGGTGACAGTGGGGAGATGAACCCAGAGCAGCTGAGTGGTGAACACCTTAACGACCAGAGAGATGCTACTCCGCTCTCTCCGGACTCCCAGGCCCAGATGACTGATCCAGCAACTGACGAGAGAACCAGTGCAATGGAATTACTGCAACATATTATTGACATACAGGTTTGTGCACCAGAGACAAATGAGATTGGATAGATTTCTCCGTTTAAATCTCATTCTCACAATATCATTGTGCAAGGGTTGCCACTGAAACTTGGTATCCTGCTTAGAGAACTTTGTTTTTAGGGGGTTGGGGAAAAAAGAGCTAACATCTTGATTTTTGCATTGTGAAAAAGTCCCTGTTTGCAGCTGTTTGTATTTTCTCAGAAATAGTTTCCACCAGTAAGATATATTACTTTCTTCCACACATCCAGACCCTTTTAATCTTCTAGGCCCTGAATAACTCAGGATTTTTTTTCAGGAAATAGCTCAGGTGTCTAGTGTCATGGAGGAATCTAGCCAGCAGCAACAGAACACTTCAGGAGACAACAAGAAGGTATAATACTCTTTAAAACATTTCCTGTGTTATTACAATCCACTTTTAAACATATGCAATTTTTTTGGCCAAATTTTAGCCAACCAGAACTTTCCATTGGAATGATGTCACTGAAATGTTAAGTAGAGGCGAGGTTTTTTTTTTTAAATCTAAAGTGCACTTGTTGATCCTGATTCATTTGAGCACACCCCAACATTGATGGTCCTCGGAACTTACCAGGGTAGTCCCAACATGGTCAGAAAGTTGGCCTTTTCTCAGTCAACACTTGATGAAAATCTAGAGTCCAGCGTTTGAGATTTTGGACAATGGACATTCCTACAGACTACAGCCTCCTGGTAAAGATGCTTTAATACTGAGATTGTGATCCAATATTCTGTTTTTTCCCTCTTTCCTAGAATTCCCAGGTTGATGAACAGGGCAACATGCCAGAGACTGTCGCAGCTGTCAACTATTTGACAGCCTCTGAGAACATGACCAATGCACCCGATGCCCATCAGAGTCAACAAAACCTTCAAACGGTCTCAGACTGTCATGAAATGGAGCAGACCGTCCAACATGATGGGCAAGTGATATTCAAAACTGTCTGTCCTCTTTCTGTGTCTCCCGCACACAAAATCTAGTCACTTTTACTTTGATTGTAAAGATGAACAAAGAAATTGACTAGAGTGGGATTTGAATCTGCGAGCTCCAGAAAACCGTACCGTACTTTTGTTCTGGGCATTTGTTATGCATCATAAACCCAATGACACTTTATATACCTTAAAAATAAAATGTGATGGACCTTAACTGTTACACAAATATATTCTTTAATGTTGAGTCAGTTTTCCAATGGACTTGAACGTTTTTGAAATGAGGGACTGTATAAATTCAGTTCGTTTTTCATCTTCAATTATTACTTTGGAGCACAATTATGAACCATTTACAAATGACTGATTATCTCTTCTATTACAATAATTGGCATATCATGTTTTGGTGGGTCTCTTTTGTTTGACATTTTGTAGGTCCTCTGAAGATATCCCAGTTGCCGTCTTTGAGCAAGAGGTCACAGATGGGGTCATGTTGGAGGCCAAGGGTCACATGACTTACGTTCTGCCTGAACAGCGACAGCCATCTTCTTGATTGGACGGTTCAAAAATGTTGATGCCCGTTTGCCAGGTTGAATACAGTCTGGCCAGAATACCTCTCAGAATATATTTTGTCATGCATACTGGGTGGGGCTGGATGAGGAAAAGGGTGTGGCTGGGCGGGGCAGGGAAGTGCTCTGCCCCTTTGCAGAAATCAAACCATTCCAGTTTGAAGTATTGGAGGCCTCTTGGGTTGTGTGCTCTCCTCGGCTGCCTGCTCTGCCCCTTTTTAGGGTGGCTCTGTTTTCCCCTATTTCAAAGTCCATCAAATCCCCGATCAACCTTGGAAGTTAAATTTACTGTAGTAATCAACTCAGATCATTTTTCAGATGACTAGGAATCGATGGATGTAGGATTTAGGATCTTTACTGTTCAATTTTATGCTTGTGTGAACATGCTGGGACGGTAAGGGGCGACTTGTAGGAAATAAGCTCCAACCTCATTGGTGTACCTGAAAATGGGAAGATTTCTCCTCTGGCTTGGAACTTTAAGCGGCGACAAGGAGATCATCTCAGAAGGGCATCACCTTTACACAATCCCACAAATTTCAAAATCCAGTGATGATGATTCGAATGAAGAATGTAGATCCAATAAAATCAAATTAAGCAGGATTGGCTGTTCTTTTTGGTATTTGTTTATCTTTTGTTTGGGATTTTTGGTGGGCTTTTTTGTTAGCTTGTTTCTTGATATGAGATTGTGATTGATTGCATAATTGTGTTTATATTTTCTGGTAAAATTTTATGGTTGAGTAAAATTGCAGGGGTTAGCATAATTAAGAAGAAATTCCACTCAAGATTTAAGTAGTCATCAAGAGCGGATCTTTGAAGGGTCCTTGAATGATCATTTTGTGTGCCGGGTTGTGGCATAATGTGGCTGTATTTGGTAAGATTTCATCTTCTCGAGTTAATCTGCTCAGCATAAACATTTCTGGTGTGCAATTAAGGGGGTAATGTCCAGTGACTTTTCCTGTCAGGAAAAAAAATCGACCTTGGCATCTCTTCTTCCCCCAGCGGAGTCGGGGGGGACCCTTTTGAAGCTGGTGGTCAACAGGTACCTGGTGTTTTAAAAGTACATGTAGCCAGTGGTCTGAAGGCACCTGTTGTAATTACACTGACCACAGAGCAAAGAAAATATTCAGCGCAAACATAGCCAGTATGCTGTTGAAGCGAGAACGAAATAAGCATTTACAAATCAAAATCAAGTGAAGTTTATTATTCATTTTAAATCGAATTAAAACTGGACACCATCGTATCCCTGTCCGACTAGAAGTGTTTAGCGCACAACACGATGAAAAAACTACAACGTGGAAAACACTTTTTTCAGTTGAATATTGTACCTAGAAATTAAAAAACGTATTTTTTGACTGGATCAGCGTTAATACTTCGCGGCGGCGAACCGCTGTCGGCTTTTCAGAGCCTCGGCCGGGAAATGCGGTCATGAAATATCCGTCCACGAGCAACAGAGGGCGCCATCGTGCTACCAGCAACTCTGCAAAAACAGGGTGTTCGAGTTGGAACTGCTCCCGTATCTAGTTTAACTGTAACTTGTGAGTAAAATACTGTACGTGCCTTTTGTGTTTGTTACGCCCCAACTATAACATCAGTCTCAACTATAGTTGGGCCCTTCCCAACAACAGGGCTATAGAGAATAGTTACAGCACAGAGGTCCAGTGAGTATGCTTGTGTCATAAACGAACTTACTAAGGCCATGGAGGTAGAAGTCATATTGTTACATAACACTGTCTGTAGGCATGACTTAGCACATGCATGCTCACTGGTAGACTATAGTGTCATGTCACCATATTTTAGATGAGTTGTGTCGAGTGTAAGATGCATAAACTTGAATAAGTTTGAGAAAATTTTTATAGGCAGAAATTAAATTGGTCCACAATATATCAATAGGTACGGTGGGCCCGCCCAACTGCAGTCATGGCATTGACTACAGTTGTATAGTTGGGACAGATGCTGTAGGTGGGGCGTAACATGTTTATTATCAGATTAAACGGTATGCCAAAAAAGCAGGTTTTGGGAAGAGTCGCAAAAATAGACGGCAGTAATTATTCCCTACAGTGACCTAAGCCGTCAGAAAAAAACAACAAGCAAAACAGCAAAAACATGTCCAGAAAAGTTCAATTTAGGAAGGAAAAAAAACCAAGTCGTTTAGTTGGCATGTTTTTAGAAAATACTGACTTTGAATTTTTCAGACCAGTCTCATAGGGTTTGTGCACGGGGTGTCAAGTGGTGTCTGCAAGTAGAACTCTTTCCTAGGCCTCAAAGATGATTGTCATGTCATGCGTGTAGATATTTATTAGGCATGTGAGGTAGGCCTAGTTAGGTTTACAAACTTAGACTAGTTTTCAGGTCACATGAGCTGAATTGCTTGTTATCACCATGATCGCAGACATCAGTCATGTCCGATGTGAGACAAGTTGACCGTTTGCCAACTTGACCGGTGACAACTCGACCATTTGCCGAGTCGTCCATTGAGACAACCCTACTTTGACTAACGTTACAGACAACTCAACTGTCCTATCTGCATAAAATATAAATTTGTGGCCAGGTCAGCGTGCATGCAAGTCGGTAACCATAGATGTTTTGTATATGTTTTAACCATTCTATGAGTTTGGCATTGTATGCGTCGTGTGACGTTGCAATATGTTTTTGCATGTTTTTGCTTGTTGACAGCTAACACGTCACTGTTTGGAATAATTACCAGCGTCCATATGTGGAACTCTTGCCGATGTGAATGTAGTATAATAGATTTGTCATATAAATGGTACACTTTTATTAATAAGTGTTCTGTACTTAGTCACAACCCATCGGTCCATACACATGAGACTAATTGTAAATTCTGTTATACCTCTGCAATGGATATTTATCAGAAGGAGCCTGCTTTGATAACATCTTAATCTTGTTGTTTCTTCCAACACTAAAGCCTGCACATTTTGGTTGCTGTCAGTGGATTCATTGAAGATCTCGTAAGCTCACCACAATGTGGCTAACAAGAGAAGTATGCAGATGTCTACATCACAATAGTAGCGGCTGGATCACCCTCAAAAAAATCCCTAGGGGACGGTTTTCCAATAACCAGTCTATCCGGTTACCATGGCAACCCATCACATCTGCTCCCTGGAGGGTGTCTTCCTCCAGCAGTCCAGCCACGGCCGACTCGGACTGCGACACCATCTCTGTGGAAGGTCGGACATTTCTGAGGGACGACATGACAACAGTCACGCCCAAGATCCTGTCGCGGGTGGGTCGTAACCTCCACAACCAAAAACACCATCCGCTGTGTCTCATTAAAGAGCGCATCACTGACTTTTTCTATGGGGCCTTCTTGAATCGCCGTGGCAACCCGCTGTTCTCCGTCTACGACAACATCAGTCCCGTGGTGACTTTACAACAGAACTTTGATAGCCTCACCGTCCCCAAAGACCACATCAGTAGGCGTAAGGGAGACAACTATTATATAAACAGGTAATGATTTCATTAAAATCTGATACGCAGTTGAAGAAAGCTGTTTCATAGAGTGAGATTTAAATGTGTAATCTTCAAAATGTGATACAAGCATTCTGTCCTCAAAGCTATCTGGCCCTCAGTTGGGATCTCTGACTTCCAGCATCAGCATCTTTGTTGGGGTGATGTAAAGTGAAGCTAGTTAGTTCATCTTAAATGTACACGTACAGGTGCGACCTATGAACTTTTACAGGTTAATTGGGTCTCGCTGACTATGAATATGGATATCATCATACATTCCGACTTGAATTTTATCATTGCATTTTAGAGCTTCCTCAAAAAGATTGAAACAAAATTCTAAATGCAAGGAAAAAGATTGCCTCGAGAGGAATTGTTCATCACCTGAAAAGTTGCTCTTTAAATCTTTATTTGATGTTGTCTTTGCCAGGAAGTACATGTTGCGAGCCCATACCTCTGCCCATGAACACGAGCTGGTCAAGTGTGGTCTTGATGCCTTCCTAGTCACTGGGGATGTCTATCGTAGAGATGAGATTGACGCCAGTCATTACCCTGTGTTTCACCAGATGGAAGGTGTCCGACTCTTCACATCGCATGAGGTAGGATGCATTCCTTTGTAGTCATTAGGGATTCTAAAATGTCTGTGGTTACCATTTCAAATCTCATCTTAGTTATACCCATAGTATCAAGACGTAAACTATCGCCGTTGGGATCGAGGCGTTTAGCTCATTGTTGTCGTCCAGTAACCAGCTAAGTGCTATGACTGCTAGATTAGTTTCCAGTTGTTGCGGTTTGGTATGATTAAACTATGGGTATAATTAACCCTAACCCCTGAGGGTTTATGTAAAGTCATATTGAAATGGGAGGTTTTGGGACTGTTAGGGTTAAAGGGACCATGAAATACAAATATTTTCTTAACACCCTTCAAATTGCATCCTTGGGTTTCAAATGACCTTATTTGAATTTTGTTTTTGCAATTTTAACCCACATTTGGAGCATTTTTGGTTTTTATGCTGTTATTTGAATATTCATGAGCAGATCTATGATGTCATCCAAGGCACTCTATGAATCTCAATGTGGCATTAATTTGTGCACAGAAAACCTCTAGATTTTTGAAGCACTGCTAATTTCCTTTGGCAATTTATTGATGAATAAGTATATGGCAATAAGCCAGCAAGCAACCTTTCCACATAAATGTTTTCAGATATTAAACAAATTTGGGGTTCACAATTTGAACATGAAAACATGCAACCTGAACCATGTCTGCCTGGATTTACAGCAAAGCAAAAGCGCCCTCACTTGTCCAGAAATGCTTGGTCAATTTTGAATGTTTAAAAAATTGCACTTTTCAGTTCCCATAGCTCAAAACAGATGTCAAACAGTCTTCATACATTGAAGAAGAATACAGAGATACACAAAAAGTGATTCTAAGAAAAATTCATGTCATGGATCATTTAAATCATGGTAGATACCAGGCATGTATGAGTGCACATTTGTGAAGAAGTCAAGTAAATGAGTTCATTTGTCAGGAATTTTTACTTCGAGATATGTCTTGGAAAAAAAATTCCTGACATTGTATCTTTCCGATTTCCTTAACTCTTGATGTGGAGATTGCATCAACTCATAGTATTCATTGCAGCAAATTTGAAATTGTCTCTTTTTGAAATGTTTAAAAAAAATTAAATTCAACACTGCCGGTAAAATGCTTGTTTGACTTAATTCCATCAATTTTGATCCGACTTGCATTCGCTACATCCAGCGTCGCACCTAATCCAATGCTGACAAATTCTGATGGTTTCTTGATCTGTTTTCAGTTATTTGAGAAATGCAGCGACAAGAACCTGAGCTTGTTTGAAAATCCGCCTCATCAACGGACTGCGGAGAAGCAAGGCCCACACACCCTGGAAGCCGTCAAGCTGGTTGAGTACCAACTCAAGAACACGCTTGTTAACTGTATGAAGCATCTCTTCAGAGAGGGTAGGTACCCCCTAACCCCCCCCAAAAGGAGCCCCGCCCCCTTGGCATGTCATTGCACAGAGTTGCTGAAAATGAGGCGACTCAGTGTAGCTGTACCGACGTACCTGCCGTGAGAAATGTTTTTGTTCTGTAACCATACACACATTGTACAGTAGTGTTCGGAAGAACCAATAACTTGACTCGGTCCGATGCATTCCAATTTTATTTCCTAATAAGAGATAATTTCTCCAAACATCCAGCCAGCCAGAATGTGTATCTCTGTCAGAGTGGCATATCCAGGTCTTAAGTCCTTGAGTCTCGGGGAATGTCAATTTTCTTTTCATTTACTGGCCATATTTTTCATCCTTGAAATGAATCCTCGTAATCCCCCGTGAAGAAAGGTGGTATTATTGTTTTAAATGCTGGCGTTTTCAATTCCTTATAAAAAACTTGCAAATAAAGTTTTTGAAATAGCCAGATGTCTTCAAGGGGCAACTTGCTCCCCGATCCCCTCCTGGATACACCACCAGTCTCTCTTTGGTGACCTTTTAGATTTATCTTTTGAACGGACGATCCAAGTTTTTTAAAAAACTTCCAAGGACTTATTGGACGGCATTTTCATGACTGATGTTTCCTTTTCTTCCTTCAGATCTGGAGAGTCGCTGGATAGAGACCGAGTTCCCGTTCACTCACCCGTCCTGGGAGCTAGAGATCAAGTTCCAAGGAGAATGGTTAGAGGTTCTGGGCAGTGGTATCATGTCACATCAGCTGCTAGATTCAGGTTAGATTCTGTGAGGCAATTTCAGCAGTTGGGCCTTGGATTTGATGGCTTTTTTTTTTTTGGCATAATTGTTAGGTGATGGAACGATTCACACGTATTTGGTCTGTATTTGTGAAGACGACACGCATGTTGAAATATTGACATTATGGGAACCAAAAACAAGAGGACCAAGTGTTGTCTCCACAACCTGGTCTTATCTTTCCAAACCAAAGAATTTGTTCTTTCAACACGGTAACAAGCTAGGTAGCAAATTTTTCGTTCAAGCATGGCTCCTGTCCCAAATCTCTCAAAGTGTGTCCTGGGGCCATCTTTTCCACTAAATTTCATTTCAGTTTACGTACCAAATTGCAAACTTTGCTTTCGACGTGCAACTTGGTTTGGCCTATGAAGAGACTCGGTTCACTTGCGACTTATTTCGATAAACTGGATGACAGCTGATCTTAGCCAACCTTAAAGCAATCTTCTTTTCCTGTGAAACCTAGCTGGAGCTGGTGATAAGATTGGCTATGCCTTCGGTCTGGGCCTGGAACGTCTAGCCATGATCATGTTTAGCATTCCAGACATCAGGCTCTTCTGGAGCGACGATGACAGGTTCCTCTCGCAATTCAAAGTTGTGAATCCTTCTCAAGTCAAGTTCAAGGTTTGTGACTTTCTTTGACTGGCTGAATTCTTTAAGGAAAAAATTTATTCTGATCAGTGCTGCCGTTACCGATGAATGCCTATCGCGCAGATCTGGATCACGATCAGTTACCCAGTCTTGGTTCACCGACACCAGAACCCATGTAACAGATGGAGCGAACCCGATTTGGAATCTCTTATTGAGATCTAGATTGGTGTGAAACAAACAGGCCCATAATCTAACTTGAAATTTTCATCAAATTTTTAACGTGAAAGGAGAACAATAGCCATGAATCTTTCAAAATGAAGCTGGACATGCCTGTTGGCGATAAACTCTCCTAAGCCCTGATTCATCCATTAAATTCTACACTGTCTGACTTTCGTACATGAACAAAATTGATCAATCATGCCAACGTGAACTATAACTACTTGCTGCCGGATGCCTTTTGAAAATGCAGTGTCTCCTGCCAGGCGATTTTTCAATATCTTCGGTTTTCAAAAATCTTCAAAGAATCATAACTTCATTTACTGGATGTTTACACCTACACGAATGACTGTCTGGTGGCTACTCTAATCTGTCAGACAGCATCTATTGATGCCCATGTAGGCTGGCTGCCTGGTAAAAAGAGCCCAGATTGTGCGATGTTACATAGGTTTCTTTTGAGAGCGCTTCTGGCACCTTTTCATTAGGGGCCAGATTAGCATGCAGCGGTATTGTATCACTCATCACTGGAGCGGTTTTGTCCCTGCTCGCGCTGAATGCCACAAACAGAGGTGTAATCTTTCAAAACAAAACGCTATTGACAATTGAAAAAATGTTGGTAATTCCCAGCAGCTTGGCCTTTTGTTCTGAGTACGGTCTTTTGTTACAAGGCCTAGCTCTTTTGTCCCATTTCGGGCAGCCCGGCTTTGTGTATAAAAAAATGTACCCGAAACCAGGCTCTCCTGGCAGCAAGTGGTTAACCACTTCCTGCCAGGGACTCCGGAATCGGAGACGTATTGTTTATATAGGTGGCCGGGGTCTCCGAACTCGGACAAAGGAAACAGGGCCCTGTAACAAAAGACCATACTCCGAACAAAAGACTGGGCATTACTGACATTTTTCACTCTCAAAAGTGGTGATAATCCAGCCTTGTTTTGAAACCGTATACCAGGGTTTGGGGCATTGAGAGCGAGCGGATTACCACCACGGACAAAAGCGCTCCACCACCGCAGCCATGAGCCACACAGCACCACTGCACGCTAATCTGGCCCCTATTGAAAAGAGGTCAGCAGTGCACTGAGCCAGGTTCGTGAACAAAAGACAGTTATACAACACCGCACAATTTGGGCTCTGTTGACAAGGCTGCAGGCCTGTCTGAAATACTCGGGCGTCAATGCAGGTCACCTGTCCACTTAGAGTAGTGCCTAAAGATCACTTCGTGTGGCTATAAACAACCATTAAATGAAATGATGAATTTTTGAAGGATTTTGAAAACGGAAAAAATGATAGTCATGCCAGCCCAGCATCATCAATATTAAAAAATGCCCCCGGCAGCAAGTGGTTAAAGCTTGTCTTCAAGTCCTAACTCTAGCAGAATACGGCCAAATAATGGATTTTAATGGGTTCGTTTGAATTTTTCTCAAATGTTTGTATAGCCCTTTAGCAAGTATCCTCCTCTAATCCAAGACATATCTTTCTGGTGTCCGGACTCGTACACGTCCAACGATTTCTACGACGTCATACGGAGCGTCGCCGGAGATCTGGTGGAGCAGGTCGGCCTGGTGGACGAGTTCCGTCATCCCAAGACAGACCGGACCAGCCGGTGCTATCGCATCATCTACCGCAGCATGGAGAAGACACTAACCAAGGAGGAGGCGGGAGACGTGCACATGAGAATCGGGAGGACAGCCCAGGAGAGACTAGGCTTAGAGATGAGGACAAAGTGATCTCGAGTGAGCAAAAACGCACTAAAAGTGACGATGTTACCTGCAATTTTACCTTTCTCTGTTGCCAACAGGCAAAATCAGCCCAAGAACTTGTCCATTATTTTGTACAGTGCTGCCAGTCATGAGTCTGGTCATCAGGTTTCTAGGTTTAGGAGTTACACATGTTCAAACTTCTGGCAAATGGAAATCGAATTTGATTGCAGGAAATGTTCACAGCGAAATTCCTTCGAGTTGCAATGTGTTCAACTTTGGCA